GATGCTTTATTGAATATTGATGGAAATACTAAAATTACAACATATCAAACGTTTGAAGGCCAATATTATACCACTTTAAATTGTAGCAAGCAAAGTGAGAAACCCTTATTCTGCAGGTTAAATTTGAAATTCACTCTTATAAAATTAACTCATAATTCTAATATGGTTTGAGGGTACTGTATTTTATCTTAGAGGTATTTTTTCTTGCCCAGCCATAAATTCTTCAAATCTTTAGCAGTTGAAATTACTGGCAGTAGAGCTGATCATGTTTTTCCGACAATTTATCAAGTCAAATGCTAGAGGAGAAACCAAATTACAAAAGAACAAAGCACTGCACCACCGCCAGAATTATATAAGAAAAGTTTGAAGGCCAATATTATACCACTTTAAATTGTAGCAAGCGAAGTGAGAAACCCTTATTATGCAGGTTAAATTTGAAATTCACTCTTATAAAATTAACTCATAATTCTAATATGGTTTGACAGTACTATATTTTATCTTAAAGGTATTTTTTCATGCCCAGCCATAAATTCTTCAAATCTTTAGCAGTTGAAATTATTGGCAGTAGAGCTGATCATGTTTTTCCGACAATTTATCAAGTCAAATGCTAGAGGAGAAACTAAATTACAAAAGAACAAAGCACTGCACCACCGCCAGAATTATATAAGAAAACTTGATGATCATATAGATGCTCTGATCATCCATCAACAAAATCCAGAAGCATATAACTTATTCACAAATCGCGATCATACAAGGAAAGAAAAGAAAATTGAGAAAAAGGGTTCTGATTCTGAATTACATAAGCTGAAACTCGGTCTATGACCAGCCGAAAAAGTAATCAAGAACATAAACCAGGGCAAGGGAGAATGGATAAAGCAGGAAAGCCACTGAAGATGTCCACAGAGGGAAAGTTGTACGGAAGCTGCCGAAGAGACCCATCACGATACAAACTATAAGAATGACTAGAACTTCGGACGAGAAGTCCCATGTTAATCCTCTGGCGTAGACAAGAGCCAAGAAAACCGATAGGCAGAGGACGTTATTCATCGTTACAGCCCCGTAAATCTGCATCACGAGAAGAACAAGAAATGAATCATAGGGTCTTATTTTAAGCATTATATAATTAAATGCAGTTGGCGAATATCGCAATGAATATGAACGCAAGCAATCACAAAACCTATAAGTAGTTTGCTTCCTTGGTTGCAAAATCCATTCATGGGTTTGCAGCACTTATGCTTAATCCCATCAGCATATTTTACACGAGTAAAATACTGAATGAAATTGAGTAGTGCCCGTGCAAGGGGGAAAAAGGATCGGCTTTGATGGTGACAGACACCATAACTAATAGAAGTGAGACAGAAGAATAGATGAAGCCCACATTGGGTTCCACTTCTATTCATTGTGGTGCCCCGTACCAAGAGAGCTAAATAGCATTGTTTGAGAAAAAATCTGCTTAACTTTGGTTGGTGTCAGTTATGGAGAGCCCTACTCCGAACATGGTGTGTTTCGCAGTGTGACACATGGCGAGTGTTTTTAACACCCTCCAAACCACACAGCAGAGCTCAACACCAGTAATATATGCCCATATGAGATATCTCAACTTTTTGTAAAAGGTTAACCTATTAGGAGTGGCAAAGGTCCCTCTCTAGTAGGAGGAAAAAGTGACCTTGTTTGGTAGGAGAGGATAGTGGAAGGAGGGAGAGGGGCTGAAAAGAATTTTGGGAGCTATGGTTGTTTGGGGTGTGCCAGAAGAGGGAACAGATTGGATGAGAGATTTCAAATCCTTCAAATAACGTCATTTTAATCTCTCTGAATATGAAGAGATTAGGGGAGGGAATGCTGCCATACCAAACAAATAAGAAAAGGTCCTCCCTTTCATCTTGTTTAGTGAGATTGCTTTGTAGTTTATACCATAAAGAAATAGCCTACATAGAGGCGGAGGTAAAAACACGAAAACAAAGATAAATGCATGAGAAACAAACCTCAGAAAATGTTAAGGAGGAAGTTCTTTTCTTCTTTCTCGTAGCAAAGATTATGGCAGATACAGCCTCACTAGAGTTAGTAGCCAGAGGAAGTGCAATGAATGAGATGAAAAAAGTTGGAATGCTTGTGGCACTGGAGAAGTTGTCGACAGCATCCACCAGAGGATCTGCAAATGCCGCTGCAATAGCAGCTCCCACCAACAACATCAACGCTGCTTTCAAGCTTGTCCATTTAGCATTTGCAACACCTTCTGTGGCTTCTTCGCTTTGATCTCCCGCCCCCAACAGATCATGCTCTTGCTTGGTTCGCTGCACAGGAACGACCCATGTTGTTAGAATATGTTGAAATATAAAAATTATTGTTACCTCACCTCCTAATAGCTTAAGCTTTTGGATGAGTTGGTAAAGAATTCAAACTTCTGTAATTGCACTCTTTGGTAAACTAACAGAATACTAACAGGAGAAACTCTCAAATGATTTCATGAGCAAAACTTACCGCATGGAAATCACCCAAAAATTTCATTGTTCCACCATGACCATTATAGGAATTCCCAGCACGTTTTGCCTCATTAAGCCACTTAGTTATACCCGCTACAAATTCAGGCCCATCTATTTGTGAATCACTGGTTGTATCAAAATCTCTCATCAGTTTTTCCACGGCGTCATCCTTGTCCAAGTCTATCTCGTCAAATCGAATTCCTATTATCAGTGCTCTTAATTCAGAAGCCGAAAGATGGCCATCATGGTTCTCATCAATTTTTTCAAATAACCTGACATGATATCCATTAGACACGTGAGAAGTTACAAGACTATTAAAAGTAAACTGGATACGGCATCAAAATAATAATAATAATAATAATAATAATAATAAATAAACTACCACATTTAAAAATCAATCTCACTTTTCTATAACTCTGATGTTGGGTTCTTCATCCTCATTAAGGAGCTTTCCTAATCCATGCATATGTAAATGTTGCAAGATTCCCGATATAACATGTTTATGCTTTGCATAATCTAATCGTCTCCTCTGTATCCAGGGCTGAAAAACCTGCACCAAAAAATTAAATACAATTCAATAGTCGAATCCGATCAACATTTATATCATAATAACAGCAAAAAGATAATTTCAAACAGAATTTGTAAACTATATTACGTAGCTTATAACATGATCAGTATGGTACTAAAACCTAGGAATGAACTACGTAAGTTAATATGTGCAATTGTGCATTTAGGACACCCATTCCTTGTCCTATTCCTTTAAGAATTGAGAATACAAGTGTTACGAGCAAAAGGAGCTCTTGGAGATTGCAAGATACCTTAAACAGAGAATGGCAAGTACTAGTTTGCAGAAAACATTTCACGGTACATCATATCAACTATAATGATATAATGAAAACACTTTAGACATACAAGCAATAGCTATAACAAAGGCCAGTTTGGCATTGTTGTGCTGTTGGAATTATTTGATGTAGTTGTGTTGTTGTGACCAGAAGCAGATAGATCTTTCATAAATTCTTTTTCAAAGTTGCTCTGAAAAGCGAAAACATTTTAAGTGTTTGGTAAATTATAAATAAATTGCTAGACATACTTAACTAGACATATTTATAGTTGTAGTTTTTAATTGAAATTTTAAGATCAACATACATAATATTTTTACACCAAAATACTAAAGAAATATAATTTTAATTTCGTTGTTTAAATATTTCTGATATATTGTAACTAATTTTAATGTTTTTACCAATTACAATAATACAAAAAATACTAAATTTCTGGTTTATTGCAGTTATTTTTGAACGTTTATTTATTATTAAATATTTAAGTAAAATTTAGTGTAGTACATTCTGTAACTAAAAAAAATAAAAAAACATCTATTTTTCAATTTATTATGAAAAAAATAAAATGGGTGGATTGATAATTATGTTTTATTATTAAGGTTTTTTAATAAATTTGAACAATGACAACAGGAGAAGCTGAATTTACCAAACACCTTGATATGTTGTAGATTCTTATAAAAACACTAAAAGCAGCCTCTAAAAGCAATACCAAATGGGTCCTAACTCCTAAATCTATTTCAACCACAAGCAACAAATACCTTCTATTTATAAATAAAGCAACAATATGCAATGGTTTCACAATTGAATTGCTCTCTTTCACAGTCAAGTTTATTTCCCTTAGCAAGAACCAACATGCAACCCAAATCACACAAATAACAAGTGTAAGAATCAATATGTAGAGTTGTTTGGTTGCAAAACATTAGCTCCTGTAATAAAGAATGGGGGTTAGAATTTGTATAAACGGTCGTAAACATTGGTCATGTAAGTTTATCAACCAAAAGAAATGAATAACTTACTTGAAAAGTTGCACACAAACATAATTGCTAAACAATAAGTATAGTGTACCTGATACAGGCAATAAGAAATCAATAGCAACACGGAAACAATAAGCGCAATCAAAACGGCTAAATGTCTTCCTGAGGTCGAGTTGAGAAGTTGTGGTAGTTGAACAATAAGAAACGGGAGAACAGATATAGCCATAATCCTTGCAGCATAGCTCGTCCAAATATCAGTGCTAACTCCAGAACCTGCATTTAAAAAAAATGTCATTTATTTTTTCTAAATCCATTTTTAGTACAATCACTTTTAAATTTTTTCTCTAAGTAAAATGAATCTTCTTAATCCGTTTCAAACCAAAATATAGATGAGAAATAATATGATGCAACATATAGTCACTAATTTGTACAATTCAAGTTCCGAATCTAGAAAAGCAAAGGTCCATGAAACAATGTTTTTGATTTAATGGTTGGCAGTAGAAAGACATATTAAGTTATGGAATTTTCTAGCCATTTGGATTTGTTTGCAATCAGTTCCTGCTAAAGATCACAATTCCCGTGAACCATTTATTTAAAAGAGTAGACTGAATCTCAAGTTCTATTTCAATACCATTTGTAGATGACGAGCCCAAAAGCCTCAGGCTTGTTCAACCCGACTCATAAACAAGAAGAATAAACTAGTCAAACTATTTCGCTTACCCGGCCCTACCACTCCTCTATTGAGTTCAAAGATTGTAGAAAGAGCAGAAAAGGAATGCTAAAGACCGGTTAAAAAAACATCCAGGTAAGCTGAAGAAGAGTCTTATTTTGTGTCATAAAATCATTACAACCATCTTACGGCTGAAGTTTCTTATTTTGGAAGGGGAGGGGAGGAGAACTCAATGCTGGCTTGTCCTCTAAATAAGGCATCTAGCCAATACAAACCTATGTCTTTTCACTCTCTTGTTCAGATGTTGCCATATTGGAACTGTTCTGAGACTCTCTTGATTTTCAAGTCTGTAGAAGGATGATTGTTATAAGCGGGGACATTAGCAGCCATTTAACCTTCTACTTGGCTGAAACGGATGTTGATGCACTCAAGGTGGGGTTTGCTGTTTAGGCTTACATAGCAGTGTTCTTTTAGATATATTCAGAGATTCCTTCTGAGAACTGGTATCATTGTTAGTGTTTGTGCATGCGCAGTGTGCACACACACGCACAAAGACGGAACTACAGAGGGACCAGTGGGGGCACAAGCCCCCACTGAGTAAGCAAAAAGAATTAAATCCTCTGTAACTTTCCATTATTAGACCTTTTATTACGGTTTTTGCCCCCGCTCATATTGCAACTACCTTTTTTTCTTTTTTCCCTTTGATATTCTTTTACTTTTTGGGCCTTTTTATTATTTTATTGGGCTTTAATTGATAACTTTTTGATGGCTTGCTTCACAATTCAGACGGTGGAAATAGAAACTGAAGAGTTATTTACAAATATAACATTAAAAAAATCCATGTAATTGAACTTTCCTGATCTTGAGTCTTACGAATTCAACTCCTTTTTTTTTCTAGTTTCTTTATTATCTATTGCAGAGTACAAGTCTACAAACGCAAAAATTCTCTTCCCCATTCAAAAAAAGAAAAAGTTTCTAAAATTCTCTCTTCTGTTTTCTTTTGTTCTGTCACTTTCTGCCCCTTTTTTTAGGGTTATACTGCAGTTCTCTTCTCTATCCCATCTAAGTCAGTAAGTAATTTCATATTAGTATTCTCTCTTTTCACCCTTTTTTTTCAGAAAACTGAGTACCGACATTACATAATTTCTGTTGTGAAGTACAACAGTTTTATATTTGCTTTCTCCAAAATTGTGAACTTATCTTCCTCAAGCTTTAAGGTATGTAAATTTAGAGATCTATTAACTTTTGTTTTGTTTTGTTTTTTATTTTTATTTTTTATGATATTGTTTTAATATACATAATATTTTTTTTACCATAATATGCAAAATAGTTTAATAGGTTGTTAAATTTTTATTTTATTTTTTTTAAATTGTATGTTGAACAGTTATGTTGATATATTTTAAAAGAACATTGGAGTCACCGTTCCCCGTAGATTAAAACGATAATAATGCAAAATCAAGTAGAGAGGAATTGACGGTTATAAACTTATGGCAGATCCTGGGTTAAGAATTCCAATTTTGGATTATAATGTAATTATTCGGATGATGTTTGAAGAGCAAACTTGTTAAATGGTCCCTCTTAGCCTAAAGATCATAAATTTCCCTATACACAATGTGGGAAAAAACCAAGACGTTTTCTCCATGATTGGTTCAAAGAATATCCTAATTCAAACCTTCCTAAAAAACTAAAAAAGTTGCTTTATTTTATATTGTGTTAGTTTATAAATTTTATGCTTATTTGTGCCCCCACTGGATTAAAAGTCTGGCTACGTCCCTGCACACGCACACACACATACACATGTTTATCAAACAGGTTTTCCCCCCTCTTTTCTTGTTACGTTATTAATTCTAGAACTAAGCAGCAGTTCCTACTGACAGAATGGTTTCTCTGTGTTTTGAAAATATAAAAAAAAAATGGCTGAAAGTATTATATACATATATATTTCTTTTACCTGCAGAAAACCACAAATATTATCAAACAAATCCTTGGACTTGTTTGTCTATATGCCTTCACTATCATATGTATTTAATTACGCATCATGTGAGATTTCCTTGCTGCTCTAGGAGCGAGGTTAACGCCAATCTTTTCCTCCCTTGAGGGAAGGAAAAAAAAAAAAAAAGGAAACAGATAGTGATATTGAGCAACACATTTCTACCTTCATTAGTCAGATATCATAAGCAAGACCTTTCCAGAAAATAGGGACATACCAATCAAGCTAAATCCTTTTGTATCCTTTCCATCTCTTGCAACCGAACCTTCGATATCACACTTCCCAACAATAATACAGGTTCCCCATATCACAGTGAGGAGCAGTACAGTTGACCCAGCCAGCAAGCCCATTCCAACAGAGACCTGACTTTGAGCAGTTTCTGCGCTTCCAGAAAGTCCAGATACTAAAAAAAGAAACAAGGCAAGAGGAAGGGGGGAGCATATCAGTTAAGAAGCTAAGCTTTTGGTATGTACACCATTTAACTTGCCCAAATGAGAGTGAGAAATACATGTATTTATTACATTATAGCAACCGTTTAACGGGCTGTTTCCCTTAATCAGTAGACTCTTATTCAATTAAGTTAACCGTCATTTTCAGCAACAAATAACAAGACAAGATTATCCAAATTAACATATGCTAACTGTTATTATATTCCTCTTTTCAAATTCTTGTTTCCATCTTATTAATCATAGTAGCTATTATCAGAGGGAGAAAAAAAGAATCTCTTGATAGTCTTACTATCCAGAGACAAATATTAAATATGAGAATGCTAGTTTTTGGCCCATTTATTTCTGAAAAGGGGTATTCCCATACAACCAAGTAAAACCCTTTATAATATGCACTTCACGAACAGAAAAGAAAATAAATAAATGATGCTAATAATAATACTAAATGATAATATCCACGATAATACAATAGTGGTAGTAGTAGTGGTTTCAATCCCTATTTGATATCACTGAAAAATAACAAGGAAAGACTTAAAATTAGCAAATTCAAGAGAATAAATGTCTTCAATAGACATGAGATTGGGCACGCAAGCAATTGTATGAACATTTTAACAGAACATGGTAACTGAAGTTTTCAGCTCCTTTGTATAAAGATTCTGAAACAGTATTATGTGCCAACACTTTCATACTGTCCACATACGCTCAATTTATAGATCAATTGAACGTTTCTTCAGCAAAAGGTTAACACCCAATACTTGCACACACATATATATATATATATATATATAATATCGAGCATATAAAAATATAGACTTTTAAAATTCTGTTAAATCACATTAAAACTATATCATATTAAAAAAATCACAATTTAATAGAGTCTAAACAGAATTTGACACAATTTTTTTCATACCTATCGTATATGTCTCCTAAAAAAATACATGTATAAAATGTTTGACTTTGTTACTTCTATTTTAATTGAGAGGGGAAAAAAAAAACCAACAACTTTCAATCAACTTTGAAATCTTATTTGAAAGGTAGAGTAGACCAACCAAATTTCTATTACTAAGTATGTTCTTTTGTCCAAAAAACTTAAAAAAAAGACAACTCGAATTTCAACTTTATTCAAGTTCACGTTCTTTTAAGTTTTAACTTTATTCAACTTTATTCCAGTTACAACTTCAACTTAAATTATAACTCAAATTCAACTCAAAAACTACACTCAAATTTCACTCTAAAATAACAACCCTCTAGAAACAAAAAAAAAAAAAAAAAAAAAAAAAAAAAGGAAAGGAAATCTATAGCAACTGATTCTTATTTGCTTTTTCCTTAGTATTTACAGGTCATGCTTAGGAATCGATTCGAATCAGGTGTATAGTTCAAGAAAGATGCTTATTCCAGAAAAGGAAAAATCCGATTAAATAAAAATAAATTTCAAGAACCAAAAATGAGGATTCAACAAATAATGAAAATCAGCAGACAGCAAGGATTACAACAGGACAATTCGAAAACAATACTAGATCCAACAGGATTAAAACTTTCCTCTTTACTAATTTAATTCTCCGTTTCCACACTTTCTCGGCAACCAAACAGATCAAAGTCGGAGGGAAGAAGTGAAGATTTACCGAGAATGAGCATGGCATCAGGAAGCGCGCCGAGAACGGGAAGGAACAAACCGCCGACGATGCCGGGCCCAAGGATCTCGAGCAGGAGCTCGCTGCCATTGGAGAGGTAAGTGGCGGCCGTGAACATGAGGTAGCCATAGACGAGTATCAAGAACAGGTTTCCGAGCGCGGTGGTGGTGCACGGCAAGAACCCGTACGACTGCTCGCAGGTGGACTCGGCTCCGAAATCGGATAGCGCGGCGTTGAGACGGAGGAAGGACGGCTGGGCTTCGCGGAGATCGTGGAGGCCATTGGAGACCAGATCGGACTGTGACGATTGGTCGGAGATGAAGCGGCCGTGGGATTGGCCGCAGAGGATCAGGATTAAGAGTGGGAGGAATGCCTTCGCCATGGCTAGACGTTAGAGTACACGTAGAGAGAGAGAGAGAGGTGCGAGAAAGGAGATTGGATTAGTTCTTAAGAAGAGAGTGTCGTGAAATGAGAGGATAAAGAAAGTCGTACGGAGAGAGAGTGTGGTGGCTTTTTTTCAGCGTCCGAAACGTGTATAAGGAACGACACTGTTTGATTGTTTTTGTTCAATTTATTTTTTTATTTTTTTTTATTTTTATCAAACGTCGCAATTGAAAAGTACATTTAGAATTTATTTTTTAAAACGTTTTTTTACATCTTTTAAGAAATAAAAATATCCACAAATCGTATTTATTTAATAAATATTTTAAACGAAAATAAAAATAAAACACAATAAAAAATATTTTTTAAAAAAAATTAAAAAAAAAATTAAAAATTATTTTTTTTAATTTTTAATTTTTAGTATTTATCAATAATATTATAATATATTAATTAATAATTATAACTAAATGTAATTTCACTTTTTATTATTCTTAAAATAATATCTTAACAAATCAAAACAAACACAATTTCATAATTAGTTTCAGAATTATTCTCAAAACAATCCTATTTTTACTTTTATATTTAAAATAAAATTATTTTAAAAATATTATCAAACGGAACTAAATATTAGGGGATTTTCTTTTTGGATAGGGAAAGTGCCTCCAGGTTGGAATGGGACTAATATAATTGTTGTCCTATTCTTTTTTCTTTAAGTTTTCTTTGGGAATAAGGAATTAAAATTATATATGTATTAGAAATTGTTTATTTTATATATTTTTCATTTTGATTTGATTTTAATTAGATCTAACGGTTAACACTGACCTTACTAGTGGAAAAATCATTCTAGAGAAAATCCCTAAGAAATTTACTTATAAGATTTTTTTCCTGAAAAAATCTAATAAAAAGAAAACTTAGCATTATTGGTCCTCCAATTATCACGTCCAAATGTCAATAATAGGGAAACACCATTTTTTTTAACCCTACCCCAACTACATGCTTTCCTCTATCTCTTTTTTATCTCTTCTCGTCTCCGTTCTCTCCTTTCTCTCTCTTTTGTACGGTGACGATGAGAGAGAATGAAACCCTAGTATTAATATTTAAGAAAGTAATTTAGACTTTATACCAATAATATTGTTAAAAGTAAATGCAAGAAGTGGTGGAAAACAATTGTCTCCTTTTAAAGTGATGCTTCTAATTAACTCTTCAATTAATTAGCAAGTATAATTACAAATTAAACTCAAAAGCGGTGTTTTTTCTTCTTTTTTTTTCACTCGTTTAGTTCGTTGATTCGAATTTTTAATTCGACTTGAGATTATATGAGAGTTTTTTACTGTAGTAAAAAACTTAGATGTGACTATTTGTGATAACTTTTTACTGTAACAAATTTAAATTTTAAACTCGAATCAGCAAAATGAACGAGTCCGTACGATTTCTCGCCAAATCAAATTACAACTATTAATCTCTTGGAATGAACATTCTGTTTTCACAACCACCTTCCAATTGGAGGCAGAAAGCCATAACCTACTCTTTTAGCTCGTTTGAAAAAATCCAATAACTCTATAACATAATCTTGAAAAAGAATAGTTTTTTTTTCCCTTCTCTAGGATTTTAAGGGCTTATTTTTTTTAGTGGAAAACTCAAAAAAAGACATCTCGAGTTATAACTTTATTCGAGTTAATGTTCTTTTAAGTTTAAATTCAAGTTCAAACTCAAGTTTAGGACAAAAACTCGAGTTCAAGTTTCCCCTTCAACTCGAATTCAGAAACTCGAACTCAAATTAATGAACAGTATTTTTTCTATTCTTAAAAATGATATAACTTTTTCGTTTTAATTCTGATTGAGATGATTTTTTTTTCTATGCGTTGACAACGAAAAGACGAATAAAACCCGACTCATATACTCTATTAAAATTTTTTATCAGCATTAAATTTTTATTAAAATACTATCTAAATACAAATTCAAGTTTGACGCACTCAAACACAAATCTAAAAAGATTTTTATCTCAAACTATAACTTAAATGTACACAATCAAATACAAACTCAAATTATAAATTTAACTCAAATTATAACTCAAATTATAAATTTAACTCAAATTATAACTTAAATTTAATTCAATAATTATATTTAAGTTAAACTCTGCGAGAATAAGTCATGAAACATTCGATATTGATGGAGATCTTTCACAATAACGCTTCTTTTACTGTTTCACTTTTGTTTTTATTCCCTCAAGTCAAAGTGGGTTTATTCAAAACGACATGACGACGACGATTAATAAGATGATACCTGGAGGGGCAATTACGGAATATTAGAGTATAGAGATGACAAAATTCTATTGACAAGTCATGTAGAAAATGACAAAATATCAATCGTACAGATATTAGGAGCATTAATACCGTATTTACAATTATTCTATTTTAAAAAGGTCGTTTAATACAATAAAAATAAAAAATAAAAAAAATAATTTTTTAATTTAAAGTAAAATGATAATTTTTTTTTTATTATTTTTTTTTTCTCTCAAACAGAGAGAAAGAGAGATATACATTAATAAATTTTTTTTATACTTAAAACAATCTCTTAATAAAATTATTAAATATATTTTTAAAAATAATATCTATTTAAAATTAAAAATATTTATATTTTTAATTTTATATAAAAAATAAAATTATTTTAAAACGATTTATAAAAAGACGCGTATATATCAACAAACCGGCTCATGTCGGCAAAATATCTTTTCGCCGCGTACAATGCTGAGGATAACTACCGGTAACTCCGGTCAAAAGTAGGCGGTAGCTTTTTCTCACTTTTTTTTTTGAAAAAAAAAAAAGCATATTCTAATAGAATTTTTTCAGCAGTGGGTCAAGTTAAATTTTATCAAAATAGTCAAATAAAAAAAGTATGTAACCGCTAAAAGTAAAATATTACCGTTAATTTATTTTTTAGTTACATTAGTCGACATTGATGGAGATCTTATAGATGACGAAATTCTATTGACAAGTCATGTAGAAAATGACAAAATATCAATCGTACAGAAATTAGGAGCATTAATATATCTGTTTACAAACCGGCTCATGTCGGCAAAATATCCCTTCGCCACGTACAACGCTGAGGATAACTACCACTAACTCCGGTCAAAAGCATTAATATAGCTTTTTCTCACTTTTTTTTTTAAAAAAAAAAAAAAAAAAAAACTATTTTCCGATAGGACTTTTTCATCAGTGGGGTCAAATTAAATTTTATCAAAATCGTCAAATAAAAAAAGTATCTATCGACTAAAAGTAAAATATTACCGTTAATTTATTTTTTAGTTATATTAGAGAATTTTGTTTTGGAAAAAAATAACATTTTTAATAGGCATTATATATATTATTAGTAGAAAAAGGAGATTCTATGTTGTTAGAAGTGATTATAATGCTTTGAATTTTAACGTTTAGTTTGTAAATTCAGAATTATGATTTAAAATTATTTTTAATTTACGTATATTTTTTATGAAAAAAAATACTGTAATAAATTATGAATTATGATTCAAATTATGATACGAATACACCAATTAAACGCAATAAATTTAGTCGACTGATTTTATACATTGATTATAGTGGTTTTATGAAATGAGCTTTTATTGCACTCTATTATTAATATATCGAGTGAGTCTTTCTCTATTAGGTATGGTACTTATATTTCTCTTTATGTCTTATTTGTCTTTACTAGTGGATTTAATTTTTATCTATGATCGAATACTTGTATTTGGTGTTCATTTACGACTATATTAAAGTATGTACCGACTTAATTATTAAATAAAATTTTCCTATAAAAAAAAAAGATTAATAGTGTTCTCAAAGCCCTATTCAACACTTAATTTATAATTTATTAAAATTATTGGTGGAACAGAAAGCAATTTGACTCATTATTTTATTAACTAACCCCCAATGAGATTAAAATCACACACCCAAGTCATATTTGACAAACTGAGAGGTATAATTACAACCTCACAGCAAACAATAACGCATAATGAGAATCAGCACTTTTGAAAGACAGAAAAGAGAGCCTTCATAAATCATATTTCATCATTATGCCATGACCAGCGGTAGTAAATTTGCATTATTAGTTTACTGATTTGAGTTTTTAATTTGAGTTGAGATATGACTTTATTTAAGAGCTTTTTATTATAGTAAAAAGGTTAGATGTGACTGTTTCTGAGAGAGTTTTTTAATGTATAAAAACTCGTATTCTCAACTTGAATGGATGAAATGAACGGATCTACAAAACAAAAATTTTGGATGTGTTTGGAGTTGGTTTTGATTTTGTTTTTCACGTTTTTCGAGAAAGAAAAAATAAAAACGGAAGAGAAACGGCGTTTGGCACAATTAAAGATAAAAAATAAAAATGAAAATAATTTTTTGATTTAGTGTAAAATATGAGAGAAATGAAAAATGACTTTTAATCATTTTTTATTTTTTGTTTATGTTTTGTCCTCTCTCGAGCAGAGAGTGAGAGAGAGACATTAATAGATTTTTTTATACTGAAAAAATCTTTTGATAAAACTATCAATCGTATTTTTAAAAATAATTTCTGTCTAAAATTGAAATCATTTTTATTTTTATTTTCATCCGAAAAATAAAATTATTTTAAAACGAGTTTCAGAACGCACCTTTTATTTCTTGCTTGCTTGGAAAACAAAAATTTGAAAACCTTTTGGTAATGGTCGTATCAATCCGTTGTCCGTGTGAATGTTGGTTAGAGCTCTTCAAATCAGTGGCCTACTTGGCATTAAACTCTGACGGGACCATCTTACCTGATTTGGTGTATTTTGCTTCACCAAAATGGCAAAATCCGATCAGAACTTTAAATTCGTGGGGCCTAATATTTTTAAAGCAGTTGTGGGATCTAACTTTTAATTAATACAAATGAGTCTTTGGTACGACTGTCGCCCACACCTTTTGTGATTTGACAAACCGATCCCTATGCTCCTTAATTTTTGCAATTTTCCCTCTTATATTGTAAGTCTTGGTAATTTTTTACTCTCAACAAAACCATGCAAACGTTAGTCATCTCCCTCAACAACAATAAACAATCCTAGTACAAAGTCCACAAACTATTCAAAGTAAATGCCAATTATGATTAGAAATTGGCGAACAAGAAAAAAAAAAAAAGTTGAAAACTTTCGCCAAAAAGGGAGAAAAATCACTGAAATTTCGTCGAAGATTGAACTTTGAAGCATTCATCCTATCCTACAAGGCCATGCCGATACGGTTTCAGCGGCATTAGTGGACATGGTGTGGCAGCGGTCGTGCCTCCATGGCCATTGGAAGCAAGAAATAGGGATTAAAGGCAAGTTTAGTAGTACTGTAAATTTTAAAAAAATTATTGTTAGTTGTGCTAAAAAAAACAATTGTTATAAAAAGTAGTTAAGTATTTAACAAATTGTTATTATACAAGTATTAATTCTAGATGTATTATGAGTATTATGAAAGTTTCATTAATTGTACTTCAAAGTGATTGTTGTACAATCTAAAATTCAAAGTTGCATTTAGGTTGCTTCTGATTTTGACTGTAAATTTTTTAAAATTTATTTAAGAATCACTTTTTATGGTTTTTACTAAACACAAATTTCAGCTGTAAATGACGAGAGAATTAATTTTGAGTTTTAAAAATCAATACCAAACATACCCTAAGAATTAAGGCAAAGGGTGAGAGGGAATTAAGCATTTTTTTCTTTTCTCCTCTTTAGCCAATAATGAGAGTTTTTTTTTTTTTTTTTTTTTTTTTTTTTTTTATGTGTTAGAAAAGAAAAAAAAAATCCTCTGGTGAAGAGCACTACTCAACACTCCCGATAAATACAAATTACAATTGAGAATCATATATAAGTTACATAAAACTATCGAATATTCTAAATTGAATATAAATAAAATCCCAACTGTTAATAAAGGTGGTTCTATACAGAATGGTAACTTTTCCTAATATGCTCTTGCAAAAAAAAAAAAGAAGAAAGGAGTTATAGTCAAAGGCTCTAAATATTAGATCCGTGAAAGGAATTGATTTGGATACTTCTTGTTATAAAGAAATACGGTATTGATATTTTGTATTTTTAATAATATTAAAATGACACATTCACATTTTTAAAAACATTTTTAAGTATATTGAGAGCTTTTTTAAGACGTAAACATGTCATTTTTATCATTATATTTTTAATTAATTAAAAACTACAAACATTAAAAGAAAGTCTAAAAATATTTTTAAGACAATTAAAAATATAAAAACGTGAAATAAAAAAAATCTCGAAAACAAGTAAACAACACATCTACAACAATTAATACCAAAACCAACCAAACAAAACCATGATACTTTGGTTTTTCTTTTTTGGCTGAAACAACAATCATACCGAATTTTTAAGCATTATGTTCATTGACAACAAATCAACAATCATGATACTAAACCGATTAGTTTAGCGCATCCCTTCTATTGTAACTAATTACATATTATCGAATCTTTACCATGAATTGTGTATACGTTCTTAATCTTATATGATTTTGATCAGATACAACAGCCAGAAACTGATCCTACCGATAATTGAGTGAACACCAAATCAATTTACAGTCAATGATGAAAATATCAGTATCGGTAGAAATATTGGTACTCAAATTGTACGGAAAAATCAGAGAAAATATCGATATTGGTAGAAATATCAAAAAAATTTATAGAGTTGACGAAAATTTACATTAGAACATATTTTTAATACTTTTTGATAGCATCAACATTAAAAAGATACATAAATAAATAAATTTTACATAAAAAACCTCATACATATTACATTTCTTAATACCAAAAGGAAATTCTATGAGGCTCAAACGTGGTCGGGATCCCATCTTGATTCAAACAATATTGGTATTATGACATGTTATTTGTATAATGTCGAACATAATTATGAACGTGCCACATGAAGATTTGTTAATCCCTTCCCACTGTATTTTTATGAACTATAAATTGTGAATTCTCTCAATCATTTGCTAGAGATGATGGTGGTATGTTCGGATGAGGATAATTGAAATTTTCATATTTATCGTAGTTTCTAAAATTATGATTATATGGATAATGAACGTTAGGAGTCTCTTGAAAGAGTTATAATAATTGGAACCCAAATTCATCAATTATTTCATCAGGTGTTTGCATTCTTGATATTCCTCGCTCTCTCTTTACTATACGATAAAAGAAATAATGTAAGAAAATAGATATTATAAAGCAAAATTTTTTTTTTTAAAAAAAAAAACCTTTAAAATTTTTGTTTTCAAAATTTCCCTGAAATTTTCTGATATTTTGCCCTAATTACTCTATATGCAAACCCATATTGACATTTTGACCGATAACCAATATTTTCAATATTTCTGATATTTTGCCGATATCAATATTATAATGGAAAAAAATTTCGGACCCTAAAAAATATGAAATTTCCACCGAAATTTCGGCAAAATTTTTGTCCATGCTGTAGTATGCATTTGTGTTGAACTCAATGCAATCTAAGGCCTTGTTTTTTTTTTTTCACAACTCAAGTTCTATTGTAATAGTATTTTCTCTCTCATGAAAATTCAAATTCAACGTTTTTATCATAGTGTTTTACTCTTATATACACGAAGACTTAACAATTATGTCCAGCATGAGACCATGAACCGACAGAACTTCAAAGGTTTGTTTCTGGTACACAATAAACTTATTGGTGTTTCGTGATTCAGACCCCGAATTTTAAATTTTGACAAGGGATTCTAATTTGTAAACTCCATTGTAATTGTGGTCAAGAAATGGAGGAGATTTCCCCACGGTTTTTGCACAGAATGCACTACATAAACTTTTCGTAATTGGTAAGTTAGACTCTGAGACTTTGGGCTCAACTTGTATATAACCAAAAAAAAAAAAAAAATGTACCAATGCAAATTCCCAACTTCAAAAGAAGACCAAGAATCAACAAAGAAAAATACCGCGGAATCTCAGTAGTCAGTACTACTTAAGCTCAACTACTTGCTTGAAGAAATAATAAATGCAGAGAAACAAGATTCAAGAGCAAATAGAAATGTCACATTACCAAGAATGTGGTTGGATATATAATAAATATCATCTAATGATCAAAAATTGAAATAATTTGTGATCCAAACCTGACACAATGTTATTGTCTGACATCCATGATAAGTATAAGGATCCAAAGTATGACTTGATAGAAGGATCCGAAACATTATTGTCTGACATTCATTAACATCGATAAAAATTGACACCCATGTAATGAGGCAAACCAAGGTTTTGACCATCCCAAAATTGACACCCCCAAGCCAACCAAGGTCTTCCCAAAATTGACCAAGATTTTTAACCATCCCAAAACTGACCCCCAAGCCAACCAAGGTCTACCCCCTTTAGAGGCATTTAGTTCTCCTTTTGAGGTTCATCTGCAGCCATACGGTTCTCGGGCAGCGTCTGCAAGGCGACTCTTGGCTTCCCTACCTGCAGCACATCAATGAGCAATCACAAAATCAGAAACAGACCAATAGCGGAGTCTAACTGCAGTTAGGAGGGAATTTAAAGAACAAGAAAGGAACTAAAAGACTGTTCTCACCTTCTTTTCATTTTCAATTTGCAAATTTTCTTTGAGCATTTTCTGCAGCTTCCTCAGACTAGTACCCTCATATAGCTTTGGCATGCTACAAATGTCATCAGTAGGATTCTTATTTTTCTTGACCTCATCTTGCGCCACCGCGTTTCCTTCGTTTTCATCCAAAGCATCAGTAATCATCTGAATTATTGGATGGCTCTTGCTCGAAGATTTGCTTGGCGTCGGCAAAGTTGGCCGAGGAAACTGACCTGAAGGTTGGTCAGCAGAAAAGGATGGCAATGGACTTTTGGTGGTGACTTTACTGCCGCCAGAGATCAAATGCTGAGCAGGACTGGTTTCTTTCAAAGAAGCTGGAAGGTGTTCACTTGTAATTGTGGTGAATTCTTCAGCCGAGACAACACAAACATCTACCAGAGCTCCAGAACAGGTAAAGTTTTTCATGCTTGCATCATCCGCATCACATATAAACTGAGACTGTGTTTTAATGTCCATCTCTGCTTCAGCAACAACAATATCAACCAAGGAAGCCTCTAAATTCGTTTCTTCCGATTCAGCATTGTCATCACTGCCAATCTCAGTATCCGTAGATTCTATGTCCGAAGCTTCACTTTCCACGGATTCCTCCTCAGAGCTGTCATCACCAGTCTCTTCTTCCATCTCTTCTTCGGTGACAGATTCTGATTCAAAATCGCACTTTCTCTGGTAACTACTCTCTGCAATGGCAACTTCTGCTTCAACAACATTGTCATCACTGCCAATCTCAGTATCCGTAGATTCTATGTCCCAAGCTTCACTTTCCACGGATTCCTCCTCAGAGCTGTCATCACCAGTCTCTTCTTCCGTCTCTTCTTCGGTGACAGATTCTGATTCAAAATCGCACTTTCTCTGGTAACTACTTTCTGCAATGGCAACTTCTGCTTCAACAACATTGACGTCAACCAAAGAAGCCTCTTTCTCTTCTGTTTCAACCTTCTCGTCACTGATGTGCTCCAGATGTTCAGACGAGTTTTGATCTGAAGCCTCTGCATCTTCAAATTCACAGCTGTCATCATCATGCTCTTCTTCTGTGATGGATTCTGATTCAAAATCAAATTTTCCCTGATAATCATCCTCCGTCAGACGCATGTCAGGGCCAATGCTAGTAAGTATATGACTTTGACCATCAGGGGACTTAATCGTCCAACTTTTGGTTTCGGGCACCGCAGATGCTTCACTTGATAAAGTCTCAGATTTATCAGCTTGAACACAAGAGGAACTCGTATTGAAAGGAATTGGTTCCACAGATTCTTTCACATTCGAGAATTCATTCTCTTCTAGTCTAAGTGAAGACTTAGGGGCAATGTCTTGAGCAATGATGTTAACAGACACATCATCCAAAACTTCAGCAGCTAAAGGATCTTCACTTCCCAAATCCTGCTCAGCCTTAGAGTCTTCACTATGTGAATTCTGAGTCTCATAAGGGAAATTGGCGAGTTGGACACTGTTTATTTCTGCAAAATACTCGATGTCAATAGACAAGAATAATGAGAAAACCACAAATCCACATGACTAAAAGCATATTAAAATCTTGATTAATAAATATAAAGTATGATCTCACCTTTGTCACCAAAAGTTTCCTCAATAACATCCATATTCTCAACCGACTTTTCAACCAAATCCATTAACTCTGATTTCGACTTTGACTCCTCAAGTTCAGAGACATGATCTTCTCTCTTCTCTTGAACATTATTATTATTCAGATCGATTTGGATCTCGGGCGATCCTTCTGATTTCAATACAGAGGAAACTTCCAAATCTACTGTCTTTTCTTTTCCGGAACATACTTCTGATGATGATCCATTAGTACCTGGTTCATATCAACAAATGTGCAAGAGAATGTCATGTAATAAACTGTGGGTTTTCAGGCAAGCATGAAATCAATACATCTATGCTAGTTTATCCCAACTCTGATTACTTCTCCCAAAAAACAAACAAGACTAAGCATTTTTCCAAAAAAAAAGATCAAGCATAAAATTACCAGACATAGTGACACTTGAATCAATGTCATCAATCTTCATAGGTTGGATCTTTTTATCCTTTACGAGACTTAATTTCTCCATGGTCTTCTCCAACAACCTGACTGAGCGCCTAGTGCTACATGCTCTCTGCACCGAGCTCTCATCCTTCTGGGACTCTGTCTTTTGCCGGGCAGAAGCAGGCCTCCCCCTTCTACTGCTCCTTGCTGCAGGAGTTTTGGGAACAACCTCAGTCCTTTCTTGGTCCATTTCTTCAACAACTCCTCGCCTTGTTCCACGACATGTGCGAGTGAGGATTTGCGAGCTTTCAGGTTCGTCGCTGATCGGTTTCCTTCTAGTTGAGGTTCTGCAAGATGTTCGAGGAGCATCCGGCGATCCGATCAAAGCTCCCTCAGGAAATTGCTGGGATTCAGATTTGGACTCATTCAAGAATTCATCGAGCCCTTCAACCTAGAAAAATAATTTGCAAGAATACCATAAATCAGAAATATGCAACCAACAAATCTAATAAAAACGATTCAGTTCATTTCCGTTGAATGAAGCAAAAATTAAAAACAAAAATAATAATAAAGATCGAACAGAATATGAGCATCCAAACATATTAACATAATACTCTCATCCCTACTAGAAATTTTCATCGTTTCAAAACAAGATCGAACAGTATACGGGCGTCCAAACAGAAGTAAAATTATTCAGTCATTTCTGTAAAACAAAAACTCTCGAGTTTCCACATAACCAAAACAGAATCCTCTGTTTGACAAATCGATCGTCAATTCCTCTAAATTTCGCGAAATTCAATATGAGAACTAGAAATCCAATTTTAGAAATCTCAGAACGGCACCCGATTTAATGGAACTAAAATCAAGTTCAAATTTTTTTTCCAATCAGCAATCGAACGAAAATCCAAATCTTTTCCAGTCAGATAATCGTAAAAAAATCCAGTTCAAATTTCTTTTCCGATCAGACAATCGAACAAAAATCCAGTTCAAAATTCTTTTCCAATCAGACAACCGAAACAAGAAAATCGACGATCGAAATAAATAAACAAACAAACAAAGATTGACAGGAAGCTTACATGCTGAAGAGAAGCGAGAGAATCGGCCATGGCGACGTTGGTGAGATTAGCGGGGATCTTGTTCTTCTTGCAGAGAATCTGAAGCTCCTTCCTGGCGAGGCTGTGGAAATCCATCGTCTTCCTGAAGAGAAAAAGAGAGAGAGATTTTGATTCAAAACAAGATGTTTTGATAGAAAGGTTCTTCTTGTCTGAAAGTATTTCGTGAATTGAGGGGAAAATGGTTTGGTTTTTGAGGGGTTTATATATTGTCTGAATCTTGAGGTGGGGATGCCGAAGCCCTAGCAATATGACCGTTGGAGCGTGGATTTGAAATTTGAATTTCTTTTTCCTTCGTTTAATAAAAATGGAAATGAAATCAATTTGAAGTTTCTGGGCCTTCTTGTGTTGGGCTTTTTACCCTTGGATGTTGGGCTCAACGCTTTGCGACTCATTTAAGGCTCCCCTGGTAAAACGGAGATTTTTTTTGTAGTTTGTTAGACGCTTCAATCCCTGAATTTTTGTTAATTTGCAAGTTAAGATTTGGGGAAGAGTAATTATATTTGTACCCTAAAAAATATCCCACTAATTCATAATTTATATTTATTATGATTTTATCTTTTATTAAAATGACATTAAAACCTATTAATATACTCCACTCATTTAACTATAAATGAAAATAGTTTTTTTTTCAAAGAAATAAAAGAGTACACCCCCATATTAACTACAATTAAAAAAGTAAATTTTCAAAAGAAAAAAAAAAAAACATACCTCCACATTTCTCCCTAAAGCTAATTTTATATTCATCTCCATCAAATTCTTTGAAAATTTCAATGGAGGTTCTAACTGGAAAAAAAAAAGCATGTCTCTTAAAAAGTTAACAAATGCTAAAGTATGTAAATATACATATGTAAATATGTGACAGTACTTGAGCATGCATCAATATCATTGTGTATACGTTTTTTTAATAGCATCTTTTTTTTGACACAAAAGTGGGAGGAATGCCACCGCTTTTGAGTGAGGTTTAAAATGACTCGAATCCTCAACTTATAGTTGTTTTTGTGTTACAGAGACTTTATTTAAAAGAAGAAGAAGACAATTAATGAATAAAGGTAAATGGACTTCCAATATTTTTAAAAAGAAAATATGACATTAATAGTTCGAAAGATTGTATTATTTTATAAATCAAATTAAGATTAAAATTAAGTGGAGTATGAGAGGGTTAAATTAGTTATTATGAAAATTACATCTATAAAAGAATATATTTTTTTAAAATTTTTATTAGAAAAATATTAATTAGTGGAGACATCTATAAATTTTTGAGGTACAAATATAACTACTCATTGAGTAATGACATTGTTACTCTCCCAACTAGTGTATGTTTGATAGCAGAGAGGGATAGATGAAGGGAGGGAGAGGGGTGGAGAGAGCGGGATGAAGTGAGAGTCAAAATCCATTATTTAATTGGAGGGAGAAGAGAGCTAGAGGGGGCTCTCTCCTTCCAGGCCTACCATTTTACATAATTCCACTCATTGAAGAGAAAAAAAAAAATCCTTTAAAAATGTATGGGTCAGGATTTTTATCAATTATTATTGATTAACCTTTTTAGTTAAATAACTATACTAGAAAAAAAAATATTAATCAATAATGAGTGATAAAAATTTAGACTCATGCACTCTTAAGAGTAAGTTTAATAATTTTCTCCTTATTATAGGAGGATTCATGCAATCCACCCATTAAATTTTAAAAAAGAGCATTTTATTCTTCAAAAGTGTAATATGAAATGGTAAAAAGAACAATATAGTAATTAAACAAGTTTTCATTCATCTATTTTTTTAATTACCTCTCTCTTACTAAACAAGATAAACGATTACAATAATTCTCTTCATCCTTCATACTTCTTATCCCTTCAACTTTCTTTGTCTTTCATTCTCTTCATCATTCTAATTAAACGGAGCTTAAATGGATTCTCACCTCGTATAACTAAAAAAAAAAAAAACTGTGTTTTTTTTTAAATGTAAAAAAAAAAAAAAAAAATCATGTTAAGGCAATAAGAAGAGCACATTGGTGCCGCAAAATTTGATAGGACGCTAAGCTTGATGATTTAAGATTGAAGTGGATTTGGATAAGAACGGATTATCATTCTATTTTGTTCTATTCTCTGTTTGGGATAATATTTTGGTAGTGTATTTTTTTAATACAACTCTCATCCAAAAAAATCATATCATAATTAAACATAGTCTATTGTAGGTGCAGTCATAATTTAGTAATTACACACCTAACTCCATTATAAATTGTAGAGTTTTTAATTCTCAATATTTTTTTTAAAAAAATGAGTTAATCTCATCAGTATTTCTGAATTTTAGAATTATTTTTAGTTTTTCTCTTAAATTTTCAATACAAATTCAGATAAGATTAACGATGTGTTTAGTATGATGAATTATTAGAAGGAAAGAAAAGGATGGAGAGAAAAAAGAAAGAAAAACTGTTTAATAGAGTAGAAATGAATGTAAAAAAAGATATATGAGAGATTTTTAGACTATGGGCAAATCCATTATTTAATTGGAGGGAGAAGAGAGCTAGAGGGGGCTCTCTCCCTCCAGGCCTACCATTTTACATAATTCCACTCATTGAAGAGAAAAAAAAAATCCTTTAAAAATGTATGGGTCAGGATTTTTATCAATTATTATTGATTAACCTTTTTAGTTAAATAACTATACTAGAAAAAAAAATATTAATCAATAATGAGTGATAAAAATTTAGACTCATGCACTCTTAAGAGTAAGTTTAATAATTTTCTCCTCATTATAGGAGGATTCATGCAATCCACCCATTAAATTTTAAAAAAGAGCATTTTATTCTTCAAAAGTGTAATATGAAATGGTAAAAAGAACAATATAGTAATTAAACAAGTTTTCATTCATCTATTTTTTTAATTACCTCTCTCTTACTAAACAAGATAAACGATTACAATAATTCTCTTCATCCTTCATACTTCCTATCCCTTCAACTTTCTTTGTCTTTCATTCTCTTCATCATTCTAATTAAATGGAGCTTAAATGGATTCTCACCTCGTATAACTAAAAAAAAAAAACTGTGTTTTTTTTTGAAATGTAAAAAAAAAAAAATCATGTTAAGGCAATAAGAAGAGCACATTGGTGCCGCAAAATTTGATAGGACGCTAAGCTTGATGATTTAAGATTGAAGTGGATTTGGATAAGAACGGATTATCATTCTATTTTGTTCTATTCTCTGTTTGGGATAATATTTTGGTAGTGTATTTTTTTAATACAACTCTCATCCAAAAAAATCATATCATAATTAAACATAGTCTATTGTAGGTGCAGTCATAATTTAGTAATTACACACCTAACTCCATTATAAATTGTAGAGTTTTTAATTCTCAATATTTTTTTAAAAAAAATGAGTTAATCTCATCGGTATTTCTGAATTTTAGAATTATTTTTAGTTTTTCTCTTAAATTTTCAATACAAATTCAGATAAGATTAACGATGTGTTTGGTATGATGAATTATTAGAAGGAAAGAAAAGGATGGAGAGAAAAAAGAAAGAAAAACTGTTTAATAAAGTAGAAATGAATGTAAAAAAAGATATATGAGAGATTTTTAGACTATGGGGTCCACATCTTTTTTATCTTTCCAAATACAGTTGGATTTTAGAAGGGTAAATATATTGTTCATGTTGCTTTATCATGAAGTACAATTTTATTTTTTTATATTTTTTTATAAATATTATTTGTGAGTATAAAATAATTTATGAGTAAGATTTTTTTTTTAATTTAACTTTTAATATCAAATAAGTAAAAATAGATTCATTTTTTTGTACTAAATAATATAAAAAAAATCAATTTTCTTTTCATTATTCTTATTTTTCATCACTCCCATATTTTTATTCCATCCTATTAAACATACCATAACTGAAACTAAGTTAAAATTTAAAGTACAAAATAAAAGTTTTTTCTAATACGTAAAATGAGAATGTTTAAAGTTCATGAGAGAATGACTCCAAAATTACCCTGAGAAAATGACCCTAAAATCCAAACAACAGGGAATAATCCAGAAAAGTTTAACCAGCAAAAAAAGAAAAAAAAAATCCAGAAAAAGAAACTGCCTCGGTAAATCCACACTCTTATCTCTAACGTTCGAATAAAAAAATAAAAATAAAAAAAAATAAAACTCAGGAGATATGATCATTGATTTTCCCATACACAAGAGTTGTCTCCTTTCGATCATTTGAGTTCAACAGATCTCTCTTTCTCACCCTCTTTTCTTCCTACTTGAGAAAAAACAAAAAAACGTTAGAAACGCCATAGATGGGTGACGAAAACTCGTTAGAGGAATTGTCGTACCAGTCAGGGTACGGAAACAGCTTCTCGTCGGAGGCCCTCGCCGGAGCTCTCCCTCACGGCCAGAACAGCCCCCTCCTCTGCCCTTACTCCCTCTACGCCGAGCAAATCTCCGGCACCTCCTTCACTTCCCCTCGCAAGCTCAATCTCCGCAGGTAAAACCAAAAAAAAAAAAAAAAGTTTCAAACAATCAAATCCATTTTCCATACGACACCTCTGATGTTGTTTTTGTTTGGCAGTTGGCTTTACCGGATCAAACCCTCGGTGACCCACGAACCGTTCAAGCCCCGGGTCCCCAGCCATGGCAAGCTTTTGAGCGAATTCGACCGATCGAACAGCTCCGCCACGCCGACCCAGTTGCGGTGGAAGCCCGTCGAGATTCCCGACTCGCCCACCGATTTCGTTGACGGCTTGTTCACAGTTTGTGGGGCTGGCAGCTCGTTTCTCCGCCATGGTTTTGCTGTTCACATGTAATTGGTATTTCTTGTTGTTTTGTTTATTGATTTCTTTTGGTGGTGATAGAAATTGGACTTTCCTCTTAAAAGTTCAACCGGTTAAGTGGGGCGTCAGTGTTTATTGTTGTATTTAAACGATATGAGATTCGGGTTTATTTTATCCAACTGTAAATTACACCCATGTCTTGAGATTATAGTTGAATTAGCCTTAGATGTTTCATATTTGCTCAAAATCTCGAAAGGGGTTACGAATGAAGTTCCTAAGTTGACTTCTTGACTGCTAATTGGGACCCCATTCCGTTTGCATTGGCTTTGATCATAGTTTTAATCAGTAGAATAAGATAAGTAAAAAAGTTATTACATATGAAAAGTGTATTATGGTTGAGATTTTTTTATTGCTTGCTGACTGGTGAAGCCTTATTAAACTAATCTTCGATATACTGTTTTTAAGGGTCTAAACAGATTGTTCCAAAAGTTGAGAAAATAAGGGATAGTACGTGGTTAAAAAAGTAAATTGTAGTTTGTGCTAGATTGGTAGAATTCACTATTTTAAGACTGCTTGTTCATATATTCTTCCTCTTAACATTCTTACTGATTTGATTTTCAAGCTTGAAAGATTTTTCCTTTTCTTATTTTTCCCCACTATTAAAGGGGTTTCTAGAGAATACTAGACTTGTTGAAATAAGGAAAAAAAAATCGGTGAACTATGAAGGCTTTTATGTAGTCATTGGTGAACAGTGTTATATTTTATTTGTAGGTATACTGCCAACAAATCGATGGATAATTGTGCATTTTGCAACGCTGATGGTGACTTTTTGATAGTTCCCCAGAAAGGAAGTAAGTGGCTTTTGTGATCATCAATTACGATTGGGGATAACTGTAGAACAAAGAATTTTCGCTGGTGATCAGTTTCTTCTTTGTAAATCTTATTGGTTCTTTGTTGCATGAGTCTGCCCATTGGCTTGTATGAGGTCAAGTTTTCATGCGTCTTCATGGACGGACGGGGTCTGTATTTGTTTTCTTTATCAATAAAGAAAAAAATTATCTCAATCTTAATTGCAAGACTCCCAACGGACTTTTAAGAGCAAGTGGGATATAGGAGGATTGTGGTTCATACCATCTCTTGGAGGGTCTTGTTGCATTTTAGTGGAAATAAAGTTTGGAGAAAATTAGAAGGCATGATCTTGTCCGGTCCTGCATGTCTACTTTCTTTTTTATTTTTATTTATTTTTTATTTTTTTAAAAGCTTTCTCCACACTATATCAGGTTATAGTGATATTTCTTATTTATGTTGCGGATTGTGTAATTGATCTAGTATTCTATCAGATACTTTATTCTGGTTTTTTAGGGCTGTGGATCACTACTGAATGTGGAAAACTGCAAGTTTCTCCTGGTGAAGTTGCCATTTTACCTCAAGGATTTCGTTTCGCTGTTGATCTGCCTGATGGTCCATCTCGTGGTTATGTAGCTGAGATCTTTGGTGCCCATTTTCAACTTCCTGATCTTGGCCCAATAGGTACCCAATTCCCTGATTAGCTCTGACTAGTGAATGAATAGTATAAAGTGTATTATTCTCAGTTCCTACAATATGGACTACTCTGACCTTTTTATAACTTTTAAGAAATAATGTTTCATTTGAATACTATAGGAGCTAATGGTCTTGCTGCTCCAAGAGATTTCCTTGCTCCTACAGCATGGTTTGAAGACGGTCGCCGTCCGGGCTACACTATTGTACAAAAGTTTGGTGGTGAACTTTTCACTGCAAAACAAGACTTTTCTCCCTTCAATGTAGTTGCTTGGCATGGTAATCATGTTCCTTATAAGGTGGGTGTTATCTTATTCATTGTTTCGTATGCATTTGTAGTTGTTCGACTTGACCTTTTTAAATCGCTTTTTGAAGCAATATAACTGTGCTTACCTCCTCGCAAGATTTCAATGATCGATCTTAGCCTTGTTTGCTTGCATTTGCAGTATGATCTCAGTAAATTCTGCCCTTACAATACAGTTTTAGTTGATCATAGTGACCCATCTATTAACACAGGTATACGTAATTCTTAACATGTTTTGTAGTTTAATTCTAAAATTAACTTAATTATAATGACTGATTTTTGCAATTATCATACAGTATTGACAGCACCTACTGACAAGCCTGGTGTTGCGTTGCTTGATTTTGTCGTTTTCCCACCACGATGGCTGGTTGCTGAGCATACATTTCGACCTCCGTATTATCATCGCAATTGCATGAGTGAATTTATGGGCCTCATTTACGGTGGATACGAGGTTCATTTCTGAAACTTTAGACAACTATTTTATTCAACTTTTATTTAGTGCCATAAGGGGATCAAGAAAAGCATTTATCTTTAGTTGCTTCTTTAATATTAAAACAAAGGGTAATTAAAGTGATTCTGTTCTATGTTTCCAACAAATTTAGAAAAATAGAATGAAAGTGATGCCATTTTTGAACTATAAGGTTGCATTTGGCGCACATAATTAGATAGGGTTGTTGTTTAGGATCGGATTGGATTGGATTGGATGCAACTACGTGCTTAGTGTAGTATTCAAATATTCATCTCTTCAAAATACGAAGTTATATACATATATATGTGTATATATATATATAAAAATTTATATGTTTATATATATATATATGTATATATACATGTGTGCGCGCGGGGCGTGGGATTAATAGTAAATACTTCTCTACGTTGTGCACCGCTGGTCAGGAAATATCCACTCATCTATTCTGGTAAAGATTTTGTTGGTAAAATAATTGGGTTGTAGGTCCCATGTGCACGTTGAGATTTCAAAAGCAAGCAAAAGAAAAGCTAGTGCAATTAGTTGGGCATGATCTGCTACATAAGATGACTAGAAAGCTTCAAGTGCTTTTCTTGAATCTTTATCGCAAAATGAATAAGCTCCTCGTCTATTTTCCAGGCAAAAGCTGATGGGTTTCTTCCTGGCGGTTCAAGCCTTCATAGCTGTATGACGCCTCATGGTCCGGATACAAAGACTTACGAGGTAACGACGAACCCAATTATTTCCCGAGGGCCGCTGTGGTCGATCTGTACGTGGGTTTTGTGTGTTCTGTCAAGGCCCTCACGGAATTATACCAAGTCAACTGTCTTTTCCAAGTGTGAATCTTGAATAACCACGTCTAACATTGTCAATTATTTTATTTTATTTTATTTATTGAAAGGCTACCATTGCGCGCGGAAACGAGCCTGGACCGTTCAGAATCAAGGATACCATGGCGTTTATGTTCGAATCGTGTTTAATGCCGCGAGTCTGCGCGTGGGCTCTTGAATCTCCCTTCATGGATCATGATTATTACCAGTGCTGGATTGGGTTGAGATCACATTTTACTTGGGAATCCAGAAATGCAACGAGCAAAGATGACAATGAGGTTGACGGTAAGACTGCAAAATGAGACTCGTGGTTTATGTAGGACTTTAATACCATGGGGGTTTCATGTGTATCTATCCTCCTCTTATGTATATAAGTACAATAACATGTGTTGTACAAACAGTGAATAAATTTCAGGGGGGAAGAAAATGCATATAGGGAATTAAACAAAATTCCTTAAATGACCCCGTGCAAATTTGTAAGGAGAGGCGAAAATGTACTCGGTTTTTTTTTTTTTTTTTGGTAGGGGGAGATTGCGTTTATTTATTTTAAAAAATACAGATATCACGATAAAATTCTCTAAATGGCACAATAGAGGGAGTGACGTACGTCTGAGGCTCGAAAACGGAAGAGCACTTCGGTACATTAAAGTCGAGCACTCATAAAACTTTTTGACGAAATTGATCTGATTAATGAAAGCTTCCGATTGATGGAGGGGTAAATTTCTGTAGTGCTAAAAATACACTAAAGACTGTCAAAACACTATTCTAACGAACACCATAACAATACTACACCACAACTAAACTAAATAAGCGAAGTGAAAACCCACGTTATTGCAATAAACAAGACACCACAAACCAAAAAACAAAACTAAAAAAAAGGCTCCAAACACTGCCGTCAACTGACTCTGGTGAGTAGGGCTGGCAATATGAGTCACGATACGACAACACGATTTGAAAACGACACGAATTTCACGGGTTAGGGTTGCGAAAAAAGAGGTTCGGATCAGAATTGGGTCGACCTGAAATTGACACGAAAAACACTTGCCAATTTTGGGTTGGACCTGTCTAACCCGAACACGACACGAAACTCGTAAAAAATTAAAAATTACATGTATTTTTCATTATATATTTTTTATTTTATTATGAACTTGTGATATCATGATAGTTATACTCAAAATCTTATACTATTATTTGCTTAATTTCAATGGATGTTATTATATTTTAGTGTGTTATGAATTTTAAGTTATTTCTAATATGTAAACAACTAAATAAAAGTACAATTTTCGTGTCATGCCGTGTTAACCTATAAAATAGTTGTGTCGTGTTCGTGTTGCGGTTTTTAAAAAATTTCGTGTCACGGGTCGTATTTAAGTTGACTGTAAATTAAAAAAAATGATTAAAACACGACACAAACACGATATGTGATACGAATTGTCACTATTACTGGTGAAGGGGTAGTTGGCAAAAGCACCACCGACAAAGGCGGAAGATTACCAAGAGCATTTCAATGCAGTGCCAGATTTTAGTATTTGAATAAGAAAAGTACTCGTACAATGTTGTTCTTATTGTTATATTTGATATATGCTATATTTAGTAGTATTTTGGCACCGAGTACAACGCAAGTCAAATTTTAGCATTTGATTTATATTAATTAGTTTACTGGGTTTTTAGTTAATAATTACAATATTGGTTTTCTCAAGTTATTTTAAAACTGAAAATTTACCAACTCTCAAAGCTCGGTAGTTATGTCAAAAAGTAGATATTGCATTAGAAATAGCGAAGAACAAATTAAAATAACATATTAAATATGCTATTTTTATTTTTTTGATGCCAAATATAGCATTGATATTAGCATTTGTGCCGCAGATGATCTAATAGAATGTCAAATATTTGTGTCCATGTCAAATTTTAACATTTGAGTAGCAAAATCTCCCTCCAATGTGATATTATTTTTTATGCTAAATTTTGTTTGTGCTATATTTGGTACTAAGTATAACATAGACTAAATTTTAACATTTGATTGTTATTAGTAGATTTATTTATTTTTCCTTTGAGTAATTGTAATATTGACATTTTCCAAATATTTTAAGAATAAAACTTTACTATTTTCAAAATTTAATAATTATGAAAAAAATAAATATAGCATTTGAAATGACGCATATCTAAAAGTCTAGAAAAGTCAACAAACATAATATTTTAGCCCAAAAGAACCTTGTAGAACTATTTACCCTGAAAATTTTTGGAAAAAAATACACTAAATACTTCTACATATGGTTATTTAGAAAAGCTGAATAAGTCAATTTAGAGGATCTCTGTCGACTAATTTAAGAGTAAGTAATGATGGAAAATATTAAATCTTGACCAATTTCTAGCCATGAAAGGAAGTAGACGTGCATATACAAGTATACATATTGTCTAGCTCTAGAATTGAGAAAAAAGGGAAATAATATAAAATAAACAATCACCTTTTTTTTTAATTGTGTATCAAATTGATGAAGCTGTAGAAAGTGTTTGCCACCCAATTCTGTATCTCCATTACCATTATAAATTATAGATTTAATCTCACAAATGATCACTGAGGTTTACTTTTAATTTTAATTTAGTCTCTAAATTTTAATACGTCTCACAATTGGTAATTGAAGTTTTACTTTGTTTTAGTTTCAGTCTTTTTATTAGCATGGTGTTAAATATACAACGGAATCTGTAAAAATTAGACACTAAAATTGGAAACATATAAAATTTAGGGACAAAAACAATTCAAAAAAGTAAAAGTTAGTTTTCATAGATAGTCTCAAAATCTTAGATGCTTCCAATTTTGGTTCTTAATTTATACAGATTCTATCATATTTTAACACTTAGTTAACGAACGGATTAAAACTAAAACAAAATAAAATCTCAAGGACCAACTGTATGATGTTTTAAAAGTAAGGAATTAAAGTAAATCGTATGGACCATTTATGTAATTAACCCTAAATTATAACGTGTATTTTTTTTTTTTTGGCTGGAAAATGATTCATAAATTATAACGTGTATTTGTTTACAGGACATCTTTATATGATGTCTACAGGTTCTTAATTGGAGCCTTCACTTTCTTGTTAATAATAATAATAATTTATTATTATTATTATTATTATTATTATTATTATTATTGTTATTAATGTTATTATTATTATTATTATTATTTATGTTCTATAACTGAAATAAAGAATAAGAATGAAGGAACCACAAAAGTATAGTGGGGGCTTGTAATCATTGATTCAATTGTTGGGTGATCTGGATTATCCTTTTAAAGATATTAAAATGTGAAAGCTTATTTCTTGCCAATTTAGTACTCTAAATCACGTTCTTAAATTCTCTCACCGCTAACACTTTCGGTGAGTTTGGGGCGATGTGCTCCTCATTGAGAGGTAGAGTCGCGGAGGGCGGTTTTAGTAACACGCAAAGGAATATGCTAACGTTGGTCGCCCGAGTTTCTTTATTAAGCGAGAAAAAGACAGAAGGAAAACATGTAGGGACTTCTTCGCTCCTCCCACGTGCAATAATGCTTAATAAGTCCTTCACTTTCCACTTTCCTGTACTGTTCTTCAATGGGCTCCGGGATCCAAAAACTAAAAATGGAAATGTAAGAGAAACACAGACACACATGTACGATAGTTATTTAACTTTGCTAGTTTATTCCCTTAGATGTAAAATGCTTCTTATTTATTTTATTTATTAGGTAATTCTTTTAGCTGTAACCGCGTAAGGGAATGCACATGCATATCTTTATTAATTGAGCGTTTAGTTGGTAGATTCGTACCATGATTTGAATCATAATTTGTGATTTGTTACAGTGTTTTCTCTCACAAAAATATACATAAACCGAGAATAATTCTAAATCATAATTCTAAATCCTTAATTTAAATCATGGTTCGTGATTAGCTTTCATAATTGTTTGAAGGGAATAACATGTTATCCAATATTTTACAATCACTGAGTAACACAAATATAGTGAGCTGTTTGTTTAAGCTATTTGGACCTTTGGGTCCAATTCTAATTCTTCCTAACAATTCTACGTTTGGATTAGCAAAAATAAGAGGTCATTCAAACCACTATGATCATTCTCAAATCATGATTCTGAATCTTGGTTCAGAATCAATGTTTATTTACAGCGATTCTGAACCATGATTCTGAGAAAAGTTTATATATCTAAAGCAAAATTATTAGCTTCTCAAAAATGATCAGATGGTTAGTTTCAAATTCATGATGTTGGACAAACTTTAGGGGGAACTCAACCTTAATTAACATGCAGTTTAACTTTTTAACTAATAATTATTAGTGTTTCCCAAGTATTTTTTCCATTATATATATATATATATATATATAATAGATGATGAGAAGATACCAAGAAAATGGTTGGAAGAGATAGAGAAGAAAGGGCAAAAAAGGGACAAACACCCTCCCATGTGAGGCGGATTTGGGGACAAAGCAAACAAAAGGTGGGCTCTTACTAACACTTCACATGGGGGGATAAGGACATGATTCTCGCAACCTTCCTCCCTTTCACAGCTCATCCTCCTTAATCCTACATCTTCCAACTCTTACCACCACTAACCCATATTTGTAATCATCCTTTGTCTAGCTATTCCATAATTATATATCTATATGGACGAGTTTTCAATAGTTACATCTACATCAATAATTACAACCGTTTTATTAACATCTTACAGATAAAACAACAATGCCTAATGATGAATAAATGTTATAGCGACCTCTAAAGCACACTCATATATACCAAAAGCAAATTAAATTGACTTGTGATCTTATTAACTCGTAGTTTATAGGCTTAACTTGGTGATAATTATATTCGACATTTCACTTCTAATATTAAGATCGTAATAATAATAATAATTACATTGTTTATGGATTCAAAACTATTTTCGTTTTACGTGTATTTTTTTGAGAGAAAATATTGTAGCGAGCAACGAACTATGATTCGAATCATGGCACAAATCCCCCTTCCAAACATTGAAATCTAAAAGTTCAAATCTCCCACTCCAAATTAAAAAATTATAATAATGAGTACTAATTATTATTGCCCTCTACATTAAGGATGTGCACAAAAGCTTACTTGGTTTTCCTCCTTTTTAGCCGAGGGCTCCGACAAGAACCTAGCTAATATATATGGTTTAGTATATTTTTCCATTTTTAAGGAAATGTAATTACGGATGCAAACCTAGCTAATATATATGGTTTAGTATATATTTCCATTTTTAAGGCACTGTAATTAAGGATCCAAACTATATATGGACTTCTTCAGTATTCAATGTAAATATGCGGCTACTATCCAATTAAATCTTGCAACGACAATAAGCTGGTACTTCTATATTGACAAGTAACCAATTTTCTTACTAAAAAAAAACTTTAGTTCGTTTCCAAACCAAAATTAGTACATCATGATGTTTATTATGAATGTGTACATTTTATTGTCCTTTTAAGGAATTGCAAAAACAGAACTTACAAATGAAGGTACGTGTGACAAGTCATACATAACAAGATCAGAGGATATTAATCTTAGACATGTGCTAGATAAGTGTATAATATATATAGGCTTTATTTTATATATACATATATATATATATACATACGAGAATAAAGACATGTTGTATAATTATTATATATAAGATGCATACACACACACACACACATATATATATATATATAGATGGGGATGCCAAGGAAGAGGGGTCACATCGGCACGTGGTGGATGATTCCTCTAGTTATTAAACAAAAAACATAGGCAAGGAGACTTTCCAGTGAAACCGTTGAGTCCCACCCTAATTTCTTCCCCTTCCCAGCTGTTGCTAGCTGTCCCTAATCCTCACCCCCCCATGTGACCCACCACCCTCTATGGTCCTTATTAAAAAAAAAAAAAAAAAAAAAAAGCCCACATACACATTATTATTTCGTCAAATCCAATAGAAAGAGAGCAAAAAAAAAAAAAAAAAAAAAAGTTTGTGTTTTTATGATGATAATTATGAGAATGCATTGGCTCTCATTCTTTTTATATCTAAACCCTCCTTCTTCTTAGTGTTTTTTAGGACTTCAAGATCTCTAAGATTTCGGTTATTCGTTTTGGTTGGTTAGTTTGTTGTTGTTCTTCTTGTTGTTGGTCATCTCAAAAATCTCATTTCTTCCTACCTAGTGGTATACATATATTTGCCTTTTTTTTTTCTTTTTTTTTTTTTCCTTTTTTTTGTGTGTGTCGTATAGGAAAATTAATGGCAGAATTACCTCCTAAAATACCAAACATGACTCAGAATTGGTCTAACGCTTTTCTTCCTCACCAAAGAATGGACACCTTTATTACTACTACCGCCCAACAACAACAACAACAACATCATCATCATCAACATCAACAACCGTGTTGGGTTGACGAGTTTCTAGACTTCGCGTCTGCGAGGCGCGGGGCCCACCGGAGGTCGGTGAGCGATTCGATAGCGTTCCTTGAATCGCCAGTGGTCATCATGGAGGATCAGGATCAGGAGCAGGAAGGCCGCCGCCATCATAACAATAATAATAATAATAATATTATGCATGGATTTGAAAGGCTGGACGACGAGCAACTGATCATGTCGATGTTCTCCGACGACATGTCGTTGTCCGCTGCCGCGGGGGCTGTGGCGGGGGAGGGGGCGCCGCCTGCGGTGTCGTCGTCCAACCCGTCAACGCCGTCCGACCAGAACAGCAACAACGACGGGATCAAGCCAACAATGGCGTTACATCAGCCTCATGATCAGCAGCCCAAGACCGAACCGGGAGAGGTTGAGAGCCCTTGCGAAGGTGATCCACACGCGCCGCCGCCGCCACAGCCCTTGTCAACCGATTCTATCATCGACCCGAAGAGGGTAAAAAGGTAAATTTGAACGAGCAATTTAATTATCACGTAGTTTATTAAGATTCATAATTATTGCGTCATGCTAAAGATTTGCATGGATAACCCACGTTGTAAGAAATGTTTGATTCCGTAGTTGTTAATTGATAATTCACAATTGTTTTGGATATCTGTTACGTAAAATTAGATTGCAAATGAAGTTTACGTAAGTGCTTATTATCAGTAATTTTCGTGTCAAGTCAAAATCTCTTTTGCTTATTTATTTATTTATTTATTTCGTTTTTAATTAGAATCTTGGCTAATCGGCAATCCGCGCAAAGGTCAAGAGTGAGAAAGCTACAATACATCTCAGAGCTTGAACATAGCGTAACAGCATTGCAGGTACACAATTAGCCCGTTTGATTCGTAAGTTTAAACAGGAAATTTGTACGAAAATTCACATTTTTATAAGAGAAAATACCGTAATTGCGGATTGTAATTAAACATACATATATATTGTTCAGTAGTTCTTAATCATAGTTTTATGATTTGTGTGTATAAATCATTAAAGTCAAAGTCTTCCACATGAAGTAAATCCTTGTTTAATTATTAATTAATTAATTTCTCAATTAGTAGGGATAACATAATAAATTACTTAATTTTATTAATTTGGTTTTGGTTGTTGTATGTTGGACGTTAATGTATTGATGATGAAGTCTGAGGTATCGGCATTATCGCCAAGAGTAGCATTTTTGGACCACCAGAGGTTGATTCTTAATGTTGACAATAGCGCACTTAAGCAACGGATTGCTGCTTTGGCTCAAGATAAGATTTTCAAAGACGGTACGTATATATATATATATATATATATATGTATATCAATATTATATACACGTACACATATTCCTGTAAACAATTATTAAATTTTCAATTGAGTATATGACTTAAAACAATTTGCTTGGGAAATAAGAAAACAAGTGGCGGTTATTATATTTAGACTTCAAATTCCATATATAGCATTAAATATAATATATATTAGAAAAGTCAATTCGTGGATCATCGATCTTTTTCCTTCAAGGTTTCAACAAAGTCTCATTTCTATGAAGTACTAGATCCTGTTAATATATTTCATTTGTTTTTTTTTTCTTTATTTTTTTAATTTCCCCCGATATTTGATATGTGTAACTTTGTATTCTGTAATGCTCTGTTTAGTTGTCCACGTTCATTTAAATAAATAAATAAATAAAACAGAGAGAGAGAGAAAGAAAATAGTATTAAGAGAATATATTATTCTTTAAAAAATAAAATTTAATGGCTGATTTCCCTCCAACGGATATACAATACAAATGAAACACAATAAGAAAAAACTGTTGATATATATTCAAACCCAAAAAGCTCTTAACATATATCAGGTCTTATAATTAACTCTATAATTAATATATATGTTTATAGTTATAAATTAATTATATATATAATTTTTAGCTCACCAAGAGGCACTAAAGAAGGAAATAGAGAGACTAAGGCAAGTGTACCACCAACAAAACCTAAAGAAGAAGAATATGCAGCAGCAGCAGCAGGAGGGAATTAACCAAAACTCACACCCACCACCGCCGTCCACTGATCAGCAAAACTCAGATATTGCCTTGGCCACTACTTGTACGGGCAAGGAGCAGATTTCTATACATTCATGACACAACAATATATATATATATATATATATAGAGAGAGAGAGAAAGAGAGAGAGAAACAAAGAGTTGTGGGAATAAGAGAGAGAAAGCTACATGAAGGTGCACATATAATATAATGCATGCTATAACCTGTGATGTGTTTCCCGATTGTAATGTGGTAATGTTTGTTTGTGTAAAATCAGTGAAATGAATGAGGTACATATATATTTATTTTTTTATTTGGGAGGGTGGAAACAAGACACGTGGAGTTTTTTAGATAGGTGGTCAAATTTTTTATTTTTATTTTTCAAAACAATTTTTTTTTGGGTTGGGGTATCTTTTTTTTTTTTTAATTATTGTCTTGTTTTTTTTTTTTTTTTTAATTATTGTCATTGAGATTTTTGGGATTTGTTTAGTTGGAAGGGGTGGGGTAGGGGAGTGGTAACATCTGATCCTGCATTTTGTTCTTCATCATTCTGTCTTTTTTTTTTTTTTTCTCTCTTTAAATTCTTTTCTGGAAAATGTAAAAATGTTGGAAATTAATGCAGAATTCATTTTAATATTATGAAGTACTAATGCATAGCTGTTGTATTTAGCCAAAAGAATACGAATAGGGACGAATATTGATAATTTGGTCCCTCTATATATATATATATATCCCATTTTTGTACAATAACTAATTTTCGTTCATATTTTTTCTGAATTCATCTTAAATTGTCAACAATTATTATTTTTATTATTGGAATTACTATATTTTGTTGGCGCAAACACACAACTTAGGAAATTATAAAAGAGAAATAGTAAAAAATAGACCAATATGAAAAGCTTAAGAAAATATATAGGCCAATTTTTAGTTATAGAAATTAATAGGCCATAACTTGTCAAGTTATGATTCATAACCAGATAAGTTATGGTTCATAGCCAGACAAGTTATGGACAAAAACCGTGAATAACTTGTCAAGTTATGGTTCATAACCAGACAAGTTATGGACGAAAACAGTAATTTGACCTATTTATTAACTTATGTAAACTATTAGCCTATTAATTTTAATTCATCTCAAATATTGGCCTAATTCCCTCTTTCTCCCGGGATAAAAATAGTAGAATTCTATGGCATATTACGATAGTCATTAGCCACCAAATGACTATGTTTAAACATATATTTATTTACAAGAAGTATATAATAGACGACTAGAGATATTGTTGATGTGCCTACTGTGAATAAGAAATATAGAACCCAAAAAATTTTGAGGCTTAGACTAGGAGGTTCGTTATCATCATCTTTTACTTCTGTGCACTTCTCACATTCAATCTGTTATTGTTTAAAGTAAAATTCTCATGCCCAACTACATGTTAAAATTATTTTTTGGACGGAAAAAAAAAAGGACTAATGTTGCCACAATTATCGAGTTTAAGGGAATTTAAAGCATCAGAAAATAAATTGACACAAGTGACAAATCTTCAAGATACTTTTATAATTTGTCCGAAAATTAATTGAGCAAAAAAAAAAAAAAAAAAGTGCAAGAAAAATAATAAAACTTAGAAGAGGGAATTACAGATCCAAATCCTCTGACTTTGTAGCTTGGCTCGAGTGTGGTAAAGCCTGTTTTGGCCAAAGGAACTTCAAAATAAACAACTGAAATTTCTACGCTTCTAAGGGCTTGAGCATGTTCTTCTTGGGAGTTGAAACTCTTTATCCTGTTTTGGTTGGTATCCCAAAACATCTCTTAAATAACTTATACCATGTCAAAAGAGTGAGCCTGAAACCCGACACTATTAGTTTGATTCTGGCTCGACGTGGCCTGCTAAAATATTCGGACTGGGCCGAGGTTTTGAGCCCAAACACTTTTTTTTTTTAATTTTTCTTAAAATACCTTATGAAGTTTGACCTACCCGTCCAATTTTAAACTCGTGGGCATTAGGGTCGGGCTTGGCCAACTCTCTTCCTTTTAGGATAAGGCCAGCCTAGCCCGATAAAAATAACGAGTCGAGTCGGGATCCGTCCTAAATTTTCATTCAAACAGCCTGACCCGATAAAAATAACGAGTCGAGTCGGGATCCGTCCTAAATTTTCATTCAAACCGTCAGCCCGAACCTCCCATTTCATCTCTACAACTATAATAACCAAGTACCAACCACGGAGTTACTGCTCTCAAGTGCCCTCAACTACCTCCTGCAGTCAATATTAATAAACTAATTATTACCACGAAACAATTGATGCATGCTTTTCAGGCACAAAACCCAACTCTTTCAAGTTAGCTTAGCTAGGGCACTTCACAATAGGGATTGTGTACCGATATTATAACCTTGCGGTTTATAAATATCAAATCATATCAAAATCATGTTATGATGGAAAAAAAATGCAAATTCAATCGGATTTCATAAAAATCTTACAATTAAGCATTGTAAAAGGAATTTTTTAGTGAACGTTACTGATTCGAGTTTTTAATTTGAATTTAGATATTATTTTATGTGAAAATTTTTTACTGTAACAAAAAAATTAAGTGTGACTATTTTTTAAAATTTTTTACTGTAATAAAACTTAAATTCTAAACTCGAATCGATGAAATAAACGGAACCTCAGAATCATGATTCAAAATCATGGCACGAATAAGTGTGTTTTTGTTCTATAATCAATGCTACCAATAGAAATTGGAAAGTGGGGCCCCCCATGTCAGATCTTTATATGGGGTCTATCTCACTATTGATCATAGTGCCAAATACCACCTATGCCCCAAGCATTTTTCTCTGTTCTATGTCATAGAATTCCTAAAATTGAAGTTAACCATATGTACGATAGTATAATACTAATGAATAGGATTGATCTTTATATCACGCAGAGGACGTATCCCAACTGTTTGGATACCCAATCTGATCCGACGAGATCTTCTCAGATCATCCCAGCTTCTCTTTAAACATAATAAGAAAAAAAAAAGTATTCTTAGAATGTTTATAAAAACAAGAGATAAAATCAATTCAGTACCCTCTATGTCAAAACATGCTCTTTTTTAGAAAATACCTTATAGGTGCCCTAAAGTCATTGTTTGGGACATAAAATGTCCAAACTACCCTTAGAATTCCAAAGTAGCTTTTATATCAAACTGTGAGATTTCATGAGCTTACGTACACCATACAATGTCGAAGACAAATCAGTACAATAACTTCAAAATCTCTCAGCGGTCATCACTACAGGTTGAGCTTCAAGCTTTCTAGCAAGATATGGACCCATTTTCACTGCTTTGTGTACCTGCATAACAAGGTCAACCCAGATGTCAATATTAGAATAAGAGCTAATAAAAAACAGATAAAATACATTTCAGAATTTAGACACGCTTAAGTGACGTTTGTTTCCTATATTCGTCACTGATTCTGAATCATGATTCATAGTTATCTCATAAAAAATACACGTAAAACGAGAATAATTCTGAATTATGATTCTAAATATATAAACCAAACGTCCTCTTAATTCTCACATTTTTAGCTGTTCATTCCACGGAAAGAAAAGGGGCAACAAGAAGTCCTGATTAACTCACTCCAAAGACCAAAAAGGACTTCTTACCTATTCATTTTCCGTTTTACCTTTCCAATCCGTTCTTTTTTCCTCCAAAATATCCGCAGAACTTTGGCTCAAACAAGCCAACAATTCCATGCATAATGCACACAAATACAACAAAGTTGGAAAACACTAATATGGCCCACGTATTAGAAGCATTTCAATGGATATTCGTTTTTATCCAGCCACTTTTGATTTTACGATGAGTCGCTTTATTATGAGCCTTGAATAGTTAGAGCTTGTTTGGAAGGAGAAAAAAGTGGAATATAGATTAGGAGTGAGGATCAATAAAAGGATTTTAGAATCCATGGCTTCTTGGAAGAATTAGAGGAAATGATTTGGGTGAGGGATTCAAAATCTTTTGATCCTTCACAATTTGAAGGGATTACTGGATGGAGAATATCCACTTATTTAGGACATGACACGAAATTATTTTCTCAAGCCCCAACGGAAACCAACCAAGAATAAAACGGTAATTGTACAAATAAAATCTTTTTGTTTCTCCATGCAAAGAAAGTGACTTGTTTTCTTGCCTTCCTTTTATACCAATCAGCATTCTTCCTATTTTCTCTTCCTCCTACCAAACAAAGCCTCAGGACATCCTTCGAGCCCCTCCTCTTTAACCTCTTGTGGCAGCCTCTCCAGAAAATAAAAATAAAAATAAAAAGGAAAAAAATTGAAGAAGTTATAGTTTAAAACTAACCTTTTCAGCTATAGCAGCAAGAGAAGCATCACTGGTAACTTTACTTGAGGACATAAGAGCCTTTTGGATCGCCTTGCAACAATTATATCTAGCTTCCATACCTGTATATAACCATTTAAACATAACCAATTCGTTATTCGTTTCGTTTCAATAACATAACAACAACAACAACAACAACAAGCCTTAATCCCAACTTAATTGGGATCGGCTATATAGATTTCACTTTTCGTTTCAATAACATAACCAATCAAAATTAGAAAATGAAAGCAATTCAAATTCAAAGTGCCAATCAAGAGAAAAACAGCAAACACAATTTTGTGCCGGAGTACAGAAAAAAAGACCCTACTTGTACTAGTAGAACACAATTCCAAACTGACGCAAGAAAAGTATGACAATTTAACAGCCACAGGCCTGCTCCAGAGCCTTAAATAGCCGAGTCAACCCAAATTTCCAATATATAGTAAAGCTCTGATCCCAAATGATCATATTTGCAGGGATCAAATTTGGATCTCATTGATAGTTTTGAACTCCTCACCCAACGTTTAGCAGAAATAGAAAAAATCCCTCACCCAACAACCATAAGTCCAAAAATCCATCCACTAATCCTCCCATCCTTATTCTTTCTACACTTTTCCCTCCAACCTGAACATGGCCTAATGTTATGATCGGGTTGAAACTAAAAAGATCTTTGTAGATAATAGAAATGAAACAAAAGCTTTGTTGAAATGCAATCACCCTAATGATTTTTATTTTTATTTTTATTTTTATTTTTTATTTTTTTATTTTAAATAACCATAGCAAATACTTGAATGTCTAAATCCCAAAAACAAGAACCTGACAGCCACAATGTCAATTTCATCTCTCTCTCATAAACAAGAATTTTCTATTGGCACCGGTTAATAGTGTGTTTAGTTCTATGAGGAGTGGGATAAATTAGCAAAGATCAAACAATATGACTTGAATAACAAGAAAATAGCCTAGGTCCATGGCCAAAAAAATTTGAAAGTGAAAATTGTCTACGGGATGCATATATATATTGAAGATGTAGTTGCTTTCCTAGGACTTATTTAAATGATCATCAACTGCCAATGAATCAGAAGCACACCACAGTGAACTAATAAAATGACAATCTTATAAGATAGACCTATTTTTGTGGTTTCAGTATTTGCATCAGTCACTATATTTATAATCTCTTGTTTTGAGCATATCTCCATCAGGAACCATGGGCGAGCCACCAGCCCAGTAATCATTCTATAACCCTGTAGAAATTGATTACACACGTTAGTTTCTTTACATGGTTTCAGTGGCGCATGTAAAATGAAGTTAACTTAAGTTGTAACATTATAGTAATAAGATTGCAAATTTCAACGCGTCTAAATTCATTTTTTCCCCCTTATGCAATGCAACAAATGAAGATTATCACGGAAACGTCTAGATGTATCTTGTTCACTTAATGTATCTTTCTAAGAAAAAATGAGGAGGTTGTAAAGAGGTAGAAATAATAAAAATAAAAATAAAAACATGACATTAGACATCTAAGTACATTATACTCGAAATCCTAATGAATTTATGTCACCTTTCTAAAATTTCATATCTACTTCAATGAGGAGATATCATAAATCTATATTCAAAATCCTTACCGCCAAACGAATTTCTGAAGCTTGCTGAAGAAGTGACAGAATTAGGCCCTGCAAGTTGCATAAAGAAATTAGTACAAGTCTTACATGTTTCAAAGGTTTTCTCAGAAGGCAAGAAACAATAATTTGTAAATGTCGAACGATTTTGCATTAAGATTTCTACTAACTAGAATTAAGAAAGAAAAGAAATGCGGGAAAAAAAAGAACAGTGGTTCAAGACACGCTTGTTTCATTGCAACAAATGTTTTATCTTACACATTTATTAATTTTTTCTGAGTTGTAAAATACGTCCACCTTAACTTGTACAAGAACAAAAATAATAATAATAATAATAATAATAATAATAATAATAATACAAAACAAAACCAAAATGGATACAAGAAGAGTTGCTCACAGATGGTGTTAGCTTTGAAGTCTTGGAGGCGGTTTCAAAAATTAATCGCCTCAGGTTTTCTTCAGAATGGTTATCCAGTATCATGTTGTTCTCAGGGTGAGTTTCTCCAGAGATGTTGCCAAGGGCATGCAAAGCTGCCTGTATTTTTCAGCAAAGACCATATTTATGAGGGATATTAGTTAAGAGTATGTAATAAATGTTTTCCCATCCTGATCATGAGGTACGAACTTCAGGTCAAAGGTTCCGTGCACTCACAAGTTGTTTACCACGCCCTTGCCGATCAAAGGCAGCATTAATAATGTGCCTTGCAGAAGGTGGTGAACTTGACAATAGCAATTGCGCTCCTTGAATTGCTAACGCATACAAAATAGGCCACCAACGAATTTGAGTTATAGCAACAACAAGTCCATACGGAAAAAAAAAAAAACCTAGGACGCTAAAATTTCTCAAGTTTCTATTAGGTGTTATCAATTGTTCTTGAAATTCAAAGGTTTTTTCCATTAGGTGCAGCAACATGGGACGTGGATAATAAAGTTATAAATGGGAAGACCTGGTTGAGATTGGAACGGGACTGAAATCAAAGTAAACATTAAAGTCAGCGGGATAGCATCGGATGCTTCCTGCCTCCACCCAATAAAGCATATTAGAATACCTTCATGGCCAATCATGTAAGGTTTGCAAAGGTGCATTAGCAAGGGGAGCCCTAGAGTATGCTATAAATAGTAGTTCCTGAATACAACATGTTATGTCTTAAAATCTGGATACCTCTCCGTAGTCCTAGAAGAACTACAATCTCCTCGCTTACTCATAAAAAGGGTACTACCTACTTGTCAACTCTGCTTTGAAGTCTTTTCCAAATTCCAATTCCCCAATCAACTACAAAATGAATGCACTGTCTCATTCTATCCTGCAAACTCAGAACTAAGAAGCATAGAGCGATTCCAAAACCTTCAATTTTCAACAACACTATTACACAGAAGAAAGAAAAAGAATATTAATTCCCTCCTAGCAAGTGATGAGAGCACGGTTAAGACTAACATATGGAACCAAGATCCGCTTCAAGTTCCGGTAGGACCAGTCACAACAGCTCAGGCTAAACGGTTCAATGAGGCACTTAACGGATTAATCCAAGAGGTCCAAAAAAGAGAAGCATGCGTGGTCACTACTGATGGTGAGCCAAGATTGGTCCAAGTCATCAAAGTAATTCCGGATAAGGATTAGCATGAAGTGGGCGTGTAACTGTTCACGTGTGTGTTACTGTTCACCAATTCTTAAGGATCAAGATCAATAATTTAATAGTTATCTTTAGATTCAGAGTGTGTTTAGAAGTCAAATAAGGCATGTTTATCCAAAAGGATAAATTTCTTTCTTTTAGGATAGAGTTTGGCCACCAAAATTCGAATTTATGTAGATTCAGGCTTCATTCGCTTTGCGGATTTGAGTTTTCAATTCGAACTGAGATGTGACATTTTCTAAGAGCTTTTAACTATAGCAGAAAAAGTTAGATGTGACATTTTTTGAAAACTTTTAACTGTAGAAATCTAAAACTGAAAACTCAAATCAGTGAAATGAACGAGACCTCAGCCTATTAATAGGCGTGATTCATATCATTAATAACATATCAGTATTTTTTTTAGTAAAAAGTTTGAGCATTCTCTTTGGTTCTTTAAGAACTTCTTGAACTTATCGGATTCTCCGTGGCGTTCATTCTTGACTTATCAATCAATTCTTCCATCATTGATTGTAGAGTCTTCACTATACCAAGGTTTTTGCTTTCATATAAGCAACGGGTCGAGATTTCCATTCAAGCCTGATTTTAGATCAATCTTGGAGACTTTCTTGATTCGGGTTTCGTCAGTTTCTTGGCGGAGTTCATATTAGTAAGATTAACAACTAAACAAACTGTGAACTAACGAGGTGAAGGAAATGTCATGTATCAAATCTACTCTTCTCTGGACAAAGGAAGAGGTGATGGAAACACATGATGACGAATTAGATTAGCATTTTTTAATTTAAATAATATAATTATCTTTTTGGAAACATTTTATCTTTATTTTAATTTTAAATCAGGATTATGTTTATCTTGTAGGATCATTTTTAAATTAGTTAACTTTATCTTTTAGATGCATATTAATACATTAGTGATTGTTATTCTTATTCAGGCTTTTGATGAATAATGATATTGAGATTATTGGTTTTCTCCCTTTTTGAGTTCTTGCTCTCCTTCTAATTCTATCTCCCTTGTGATTCATCATTTCTATCTTGGTTCTATTTCTCCTTCTTGACCGTTTTCCCTCTAAATCCTGTCTCTATTCTTCAATTCTACCCGGTCCTACATCATGCATTCTAATGGAGCCACATGCTCCCCATATGGAAATGAATGTATTACAAAGTGGTAAAGAAGGCACAAGTCCAATCACTCATAGAAATCACCCTTTTTTAAAAAAAAAAAAAGAAAAAAAGAGGACACTTGTTTTATGAGCCCACCCTTTTAAATCCTTTTAAATCCATTTTACAAACGACATATAACTTGAGATACGTACAAATATTTCTCAAGGGGGTGCATATAAATGGCCTATCAAAGGAAATATTACAGCAACAGGTACCCAGACTTGAAAAATGAATGGCATACTTACAAGACCCTATTTGACCAAGCGCCTCAAGAGCCGATTCACATTCATCCATATCTCGAGTTTCTGATGAATCAAGTATTCTATCTATTGCTGCTATTACTGTTCTAGTACCTGTATTAAGAAAGATAACAGCAGACTTTACATAAGTACAGTTTTCGTCAAGAATACACAACAAAATAATCTTCAAAACCTACAAAACTCTCTCTAGATCAAGGAGCACTTGCATGATCAACATTAGCAATACAGGAAATCTCTCTAGATCACAGTATCTACAATCCAAAATGTTATATAGCCTCAAATGCTAGCCAATAGATTCAAGCTGCAAATAGTGGCTCCAATGTAATTGGCTAAAAAACAACTATATCTACTATGTTATCATGTCTTTGCAAAGCCTGAGATTAAAATTGATCTAAGCTCATGTACTGATTTCCACGCATGAAGAACTCAGTGGTTGAATGAAAGCCTTACTTGATTCATCAACAAACATGTAGCTGTCGTGCAAAAGTCTTCCGCTGATCATCATTGCTCGTGATCTTAAAATTGGCTCCATTGCTTTGTTGCTGTAAAATAAAAGAGTAAAAAAGCAAAATTTTTGCATGTGTTAGAATCAAATTGATAGAAAGTGATCGTTACTATACCTGATTATAGAACTAAGAAGTTGCAAAAGGCTGTTTCCTGACAGAAACTCTCTACCATGCTGAATTTCTGACAACTTCACAAGTTCAGCACAAAGAACGAACATAAAAACCATGTAAGGTAGTAATTCAGAGAAAAGAGGCAAGCAATATGACTAGATTAGTGAGAGGAAAAAAAACAAAAACATAAGATTGAATCAACAAAAGGAAAAATAAATAACACTTTCCTGGAAATTTACAAGGTATGAACAAGAACAAAAGTAATTTAGCTTCTCAAGAATCCAAATTTTCAAAGAGACAATTCTAACTGAAAGTTAATAACTTAATACATTGAACAAAGAGAAGACAAGATGACAACTATATAAAGAAAAAAATATCGGTAGAATAATTCTTTTGCCACCTTTTTTTTTTTTTTTTACAGGAAACGAGAATTTTATTAATAATAAAAAAAGAACAACAGAGGACAAGGGATCCTCAAACCAAATAGAACAGGCAAAACCAAAAGAATTACACAAACAAAAACCACAAAAACTACAACAGGGACAACATAACTATAATAAAATTAAGTCCCATCCCCTTAGGAGACCCGAGAATGAAAAAGCCCTGAATTCTTTATCTTGTGAAGTCCACAACGCCATGCACTGAATTATGCAATCCCAGACATCACTAACTCCCTCAACTCCATCAAAGATACGATTATTCCTTTCCAACCACAACACCCAAAGAGAAGCTAAGATTACTATGTTCAAAAAGCGATTAGTTCCTCTTATTTCAAACACCCGAAACATCAAAATCCATTAGATCAGGAACACTTCTTGGTCTTTTGCCACTTTTCATTGATGTATCACTCTATCCATGCTATTCATGTGACTAATTGCAACACGTAATCCCATAGGCTGTAAAGCTAATCAAAAGCTTACTATTTTAGGGCACCTATTTAAGTCATTAGGGTTGTTTTTCAAGTTCTGCCCGAACTTAGTTCTAGATGGCACTCCTATACTCCTTTTACCTTCGTAACTTTTCTAATTGTATATGTAAGTTCTTCAATATCAGGTTCCTCTACGACCCTGAGATTTAGAGAGAACAAATTCAAAAGACAAGATATGCTTTTAGTTGAAACTTAAGAAACTCTCAAATTAATGCATAGTAAATGCAGAGAGGAAAAATAAGTAAGACTAAATAATGCTTTAGATAATCATAGGCCAACCTCATATAGGAGCTCCAAAACATTCAACGTTACAAGGGTATCATTTGTATTGTTGATTTCCTCCTCGAAAAGTCTGAGTAGATTCAACTTGTAGATTATTGATGCCACAGAACTTGAGACAGAGAATAATTTCACCATCAAAGCCAATACTCGGACCCGTCCCTGAGAAGAATATGTTCAAAGATAGGAAACGGTTTGGAAGAATATAAAGTCACAGGTGGAATACTATCTAGTAATCATAGCTAACTAACGTTTATACAGACATAACAACAGTTATAAACAAGTAATAGTGATGTTTGTCTGACGCTGGAGTGTGTTACAGTACAAAAATATTTGCTAAAGACCATAAAGTTGTGTTGCTGCAGCACACGTTTTTCCTATAACGAAACAGTCTGAGGTAGCTTTAAATGCTGTCTACTGGGAGAATGCACGCACAGATCAATTGAGATATAACTTTTATACAATTGTACCAATGAATAAAGGCCTAACTTTTTGGAAATATAACCAAAAGCATTTTTATATGCTTCAGGTGTATATGATTAATTGATTAGTACATGAATTATCAGTCACCTTACCAAAGAGGAACATCGGGTTGATAATTCTCCAAGATGTGTTTCTTCTTTGCTGTTAGTTGGGAAGATAATTTCCTGAACAATTAAATAATCGTGAGATTCTTGAGCAATGAATCGAAAAGGTCAGGATTTTTATATTATACATTCAGGATTCAAATCGAGAAGAAACCTATAAGCTATGCCTCGTACCATTCCTTGGGGAAAACCAGCTAACTTTTTAATTGCATCCATTGATGCAGTAGCCACTTGCTCATTGCTGCAACAAATAAGATAATTCCTTCAATAAAATTTTAACAAAAAAGTACATTTCGATAAAAGCAACATGGTTAGAGTGAGCAAGGTATGTGTTACTACTAGTCAAAGGATCGAAAATGTTTGATAGTAAATTTAATAAAGAAGGTGCATTATGAGGCGTTATTAGTTCAGCCAGAATGAAGATCATGTGTTGTGCATCATCTGATATACAAAGTCAATCAAGTGTTAGGATATTCTCATTATAATTTGTGTAAACCAGGTTTTTATCCTAGGCCACATGAAAAATGGGTGTAAAATGTAAAAGCCAATACAACTGAGTGGTTCTAGTACAAAATGAAATAAATGCGTAGCCTCTATATCTTAGGCAAAGGGTTGGTTTGATATCATGAATTTTACACATACACACGCATATACTTGTATGAAACAATAGCTTTATTTACTTCTAACAACTTGGATTAATTGTTTTCACCTAAAATAAATCATTGGCAAAATCGAACAACAATTTATACTATCCACCATGGCTGGCTGAAATCAGTCAGGCAGCATTGGGAACAAGAACACTTTAATTTTCCAGCTAAACTGGAAAAAAGAATGTGGGGAAACAACTATGCAGTTAGAGTATAAAGTGTGGGTAAAAGAAGAGAATGGAAAAATAAGAAAACAAGACCATAGATCCCTCCCGCTCCATAAATAAGGTCTCATGTCCAGTACCAAAGGACAAACGACTTCAAACCAAATATGCAAAAAGACAATGAACACGCAGTTGGAGTATGAACATAAGATACTTCGAAAATAACTCAGAACTCAATGGACAGAGCCATTCTACGATTGCACCCATCTATTGAGCACATAGCCAGACCGCCACTTACTTAACCTCCAAGAGTTCAAATTTAGCTCTAAAACAACCAATTTTAAGTTTACTGTTACATTACCCTAATATTTAACAGCAGCTGCATTCTACAAACGGTACTGATCTCATGCTCAACTCTGACCCGTGTATCGAGGCATGAGATCTGAATTTTGCCTTAGCAATACCCGATCCATGTCTCTTGCTTCTTCCTAAGATTTAAAGGCCCAAATGTCTCTTGCTTCTTCCTAAGATTTAAAGACCCAAAAAAGCAATACTAAATCAACTCAGTGATATCTAAAGTTGTTTGTGGCAGCTTTGAGGGGGAGAACCCGGTGAAGGTGGGGGCCGTGGGGCTAAGGCCCGTTAGTCAACACATAAGTTGAAGTTAATTTTATAGTAGCGTGACAACTGGCAATACAATTAGATTCGGCTGTTTATATGTCAATTTCTTTGCAATTAAAATATATTTTTCCCGAAAGAAACTAAAGAAATTTTAAATTATCCAAATCAATATTGGATAATAAAAGTTTTTGGAACAAGAAGATAAATAGAAAATCAACCCTTTACCCATTTACGAGGCAATCAAGCAAAAGTGGGTATACATCATAGTCACTTATAAGCTGTACAGCAGAAGTTTCTTCATTCAAATGTTCCAGAAGGTATGTAACCTGCAGAGAGTTGGCATAAAGTCAAGTGAAACCGTTGGAAAAATTCTCTCCACTCACATTTTAGGTACTTAAGATACTGTTGATTCTTCAATAGACATCAAAAATGAAAAAACTCAAAAAGACAGGTTATATGCAGTACTCCAAAACCAACAGCAACAAGAACATGTGTGCATCAATTGCAAAAGCAAACCAAAATGAAGCAAAAATCAAGGCAACGCAACAAAACCCAAAAATGAACAGGTAAATTAAAAGTAAATCCATCCGTCCAATTTCTTTTTGTTTGCTTCCAGGTCATTATGATTTATGAGCATACCAAGTGAACTTGACAAAGCATGACTTCACCTCTACAGGTTAATTATGATCATCAGAGCAACTCATGATAGAAGAATCCAGTTAAATGTGCCCCTGAAGTGGATTAACTGCTTTTTCCACCAATGAGACGACGAATCACACCATCAAGCAGCATCTAGATTCTATAAAGGTGCAAACATAGGCTAACATCTACTGTCTAGTCCTTTCTTGTGCTAGAAATGAAGGATAGATAAGATGTATCTCATAATTTTGTATCAATGGATCATTCAAAGAATAAAGCATAATTGAATGCTAGAAAAGATCAAAAGGCAGACCCTCATATGATAAAAAAACAAACTCTTAGAACTTACAGAAGATCACTGTCCTGTCAAAAGACATATAGAGTAACACATCAATTTTTCAAGAGTTAAGGCCAAAGTTTGTTTCTGAAAAATAAAACTCAGAATAATTCCAACAAAATGTAAACAGCATAGCTTTGAACAAAATATCCGAAACTGTTGGTTCTAGTACAAGCGGCATGTGTAGAAAATAACAGCAAATGCGTACAATGCGTATACATACCGTTTTACAAGCTAGACATCTGACTATTTGAGAATCCGCCTTAAGACCAACTTGTACAAAAGGCTGAAAGAGAAAAGGAGATACGTGTTCACGCAAATATACACACTTTTTTTATAATAAACAAAAATCTTTATTGACAAAATGAAATCTTTATTGACAAACAAAAACCTTTATTGACAAACAAAAACCTTTATTGATACAAATATAAACAGTTGAAAAATGAAAGACACAAGCACATCACATTTCTTTCAAACAGCCAATTCACTTGAAATATATGCAAACGAGCATACCATGTATTGTGGGATTAGGTAGGCACCATATTTTGTCTGGAATATCCTTTCCAAACAAGCAACCAACGTGTTTTCTAGACCAGGCACATCTGCTTTGGTTTGCAAAGCACTGCAAGCAAGATACGCGAAATAAAGGCACAACATGATTTAAGCCTTAGATTTCCAAAATACCAAAAATACATAAATATAAACATTTATCATAAACAAAAAATAAAAGGAAAAAAACACACGTGGGTATATGTTGTAAGAAATTAATGTTTTAAAGAAAAATAGTGACGCTAATCGGAGTTTATGTTGTGTAAGAGTTATAGCCCGTTTGCTTGCTTTGTAGGTTTGAATTACAGTTCAAACTCTCAACTCTCTTGCTATAATGTTTTCTCACGCAAAAATTAAAATTTCAGTTCAAATTTTCTGTTCGAACCTGCAAACCAAATAGGCCCTTAATCTTTCAAAGAAAAAATAATGTCCCTAATAGTAATAGGAGTTTATTTTATTTATTTGAACTTGGGACGGGATTCGAAATCTACAATCTACACCTTGTGGTGGAATCAGGTGTAGAATCACCGCAAGGCTTTGCCTCCAACCACTTTTATTTTCTTTATTACTCTCTAGATTTCACAACAAAAAAAGCAAATATACAACAATAAAGTGCATTTTCTAATGATAACATACAAGAACAAATTGCCTTTACAGAAATTTTGTTA